CTTGTTCGGGCGTACCACCACATTTCAGTGGCCCCAGAAGACATACCGAAAACGGCTGTAATCACTCCATTTGGTTTATTTGAGTTTTGGCGAATGCCATTTGGACTAACTAATGCAGCTCAAACCTTTCAGCGATTTATTGATCAGGTTGTTAGAGGTTTGACGGGAGTATAAGCATATATCGACGATATATTAGTAGCTAGCGCTACCGTCGAAGAACATCTACAACATCTACGACAGTTATTCACGAGACTTCAAGAACATGGTATCACTACAAACGTGGAGAAATGTGAATTTGTAAAGAAATCATTGCAATTCCTAGGTCATATGATAAATTCTCGAGGTATCATGCCAGTTCCAGCAGAAGTTGCTGCTATTCGTAATTATCCGTTGCCCGAGTCACAAAAAAAGTTACGACGATTCTTGGGACTAATAAACTATTATAGGCGATTTATTCCAAACTGCGCAGCAATACTACAGCCATTAACGGACGCTTTGCGAGGAAATACACGAACATTCCATCTATCGACAGAGGCTATACAAGCTTTTGAGAACGCTAAGCGAGCACTTCATGAGAAAATGATATTAGTTCGACGAAAGAGCGAAGCGCCACTAGCCATCATGACGGACGCATAGAACATAGCAGTGGGAACAGTACTGCAGCAGTTAGTAAACGGTACATAGGAACCGATTTCATTTTTCTCGAAGAGATTAAATCCTACACAAACGAGGTACAGTACGTTCGGAAGAGAACTATTAGCGATTTACTTGGCAATTAAACATTTCCGACACATGATAGAGGGTACCATTTTCACAGTGTATACAGACCATAAACCCCTCACGAAAGCATTAAACGCCAAGCAGGATAACTATTCGCCGAGGGAAATTCGACAATTAGAATTTATTTCCCAATTTACTTCTAGCATACAGTATATTGAAGGTAATAATAACGAAGTGGCAGATGCGTTGTCAAGAACAACGATAAACGCGATTATTACAAATGGAATTGATTATCACGGTCTCGCGAAGTTACAAGAGATAGACATCGAACTAAACAAGCTAATATTCGATGACACGACGTCATTATTATTCGAAGATATTCAGTTCGGCAACGCGAAAGTAATATGTGACATGTCGACTGGCCGACCTCGCCCATTCATTCCTAAACCATTGCGACGGAAAGTATTCGGAAGTATCCATAACCTATCGCACGCGGGAATAAAAGCCACGATGAAATTAATCAGTGAGCGTTTCGCATGGACGAAAATGCATCGCGATATACGAAATTGGACGCAAGCATGCATGAAATGTCAAAAAGCCAAAGTACATCGTCATACTAGTTCGCCAATGGGTTCGTTTTCACAGCCAGACACTCGATTTGAGCATATACACATCGATATTGTGGGACCACTGCCAGTTTCGAACGGGTACAACTATATTTTTGCATGCATCGATAGATTTACCCGATAGTCTGTAGCGGTGCCAATCAAAGACACTTCAGCCGAATCTGTAGCAAAAGCCCTAATCAAAAATTGGATTTCTTACTATGGTATACCTGCAATTATCACGACCGATAGAGGAGCTCAATTCGAAAGTCGACTCTTCCAGCAGCTTACAGAACTTCTCGGAATTAAACATATACGAACGACATCCTACCATCCAATGGCAAACGGAATGGTTGAACGCCTACATAGGCAGTTGAAAGCATCCCTTACATCTGTCATTGTCGATAACGATTGGGCTAATAAGCTTCCTTTAGTCATGTTAGGTTTAAGAACAATAATTAAACAGGATATGGGATGTTGTCCAGCCGAGTTGGTATATGGAGCTACTTTACGTTTACCTGGAGAATTTTTCGTTTCAGGTAAAAGTGTTCCGACTGATGTAGCCAATTACGTCCAACGCCTGAAGAAACACATGAACGATTTAAAAATAGCACTTCCCAGACTACAACAACGACGAGTATTCGTACCTCAGCAACTACATAATAGCACGCACGTATTTATCAGAAGAGACAACGTACAACCACCTCTGCAGCCGAACTATGAAGGTCCGTTTAAAGCGATTACGAAGACAGATAAGACAGTCACGGTAGAAAAAGCTGGGAAGACAGACGTAATCAGTATCGATCGTGTGAAGCCAGCTTTCATCTATAGCGATTTTCAATCGACAAGCACAAGCCTCTCGAAGACGATCACACCGACGAAACACGAATTTCAGGAGTCAACGACGCTAACGCACCAAAACGAAGCGACTCCGATAACGACAAAATCTGGTCGCAGAGGAAGATGGCCGCAACGTTATGTCGCTACAATCTTTTACGGATAATTTTCTGCTACTTTGAATATTAGTTATAATTCTTCCTTATCATTGTATACATATGGATTATTAAGTTCATGTTATACGCTATTAAACTCGGCACAGTTTATGTACACCATTGCGCTTATACTTGTAATTTTTTTTCGAAGCGATACCATATTCCTTCTGTATCTTACCGCTATTTTGTATAGCCTAACGGACGGGCACGAACTAAATGCACATTAACTTCATTCTAATTTTGTACAAGCCCATATCTACGATTGATTGTAACTACGCTATTCAATTTACTGTACTTTATGCAAACACAGACATTTTTTCATATATCTTTGTTTGCAGGGGGAAGTTATATAGCAACCATCCTACAGTCAATTTCGATTATAGCCAATTTTGGTTAAGCCCTTTTTTATAACTTACTTAACAGACATCGTCATTTGGATAGTAACAATTTGCATATTCTTTGCACTGCTTTACCACTAGAGCACATGACACTCTAGCCGAAATGTTGACTGCTTAAATATCATTCGATGACTCATACTCCTCCCCATATATGTACGCACACAAATATTATTATCAGCCTTTGTTTTGCTTTGCTGTGCCCTTATTAAATTTGACTATAAATTGCCTATATAATTGCTTGCTATTCACTCGCTCGCTCGCTCCTCGTTCGTTTCCTTCGCTTGTTTGCCTGTTCACTCGCTCGTTCATATTCGCTCAGGTGTTGTTAGCTTCTGAACCTGAGTCATTCGACAGTAAACTGTAGTTTCTGCTATCCTTTGTCTTCTGATTTTACGCACCGTTAAGTTTAGAATTATAAGGGTTATCGAAGTAAACGGTTAACGAATCGCGGCACTACACGCCTCCGACCATCGCCGTATTGGTTTCGTCGGCTTCAGTCAACTTTGGCGAAAGCTGGCTTGATCACCCACGCCCTAGTCAACGCACTCAGTCGATCCCTCTGGCTCCAAATACGTATGGTATACATTTGGTCACGAACTTGGTTATTCTGGTCGCATCTGGTTCCTTGGCTCAATCTAGTTTCATCCTACGTCTGCAGCGTTTCTGGTTCGGACTTCTACGAACACAGCCTTCAGATTCTGGATACAAACCATTCTGGTGTAGCATACTAACCCAAGCAATCACTACAGTACGTTCCTCCTGGTACCGTTCCACGTCAAAGACGTTTTGTGGCAACTCGATGATCAACGATCGCTTCCTGCTCTGTCAACGCCTTCGTCCTACAATTGCACGTTTCACGACCAGTCCCACGAACGAAACCGCTACGTATCGAAAGTGCAAACCCTTTCTAGCGGGGGGCTCTTGTAGTGACCGGCCTGTCTCGATAAGAACACGATTGAAACAATAGAAACAATTATTATTACTGTTACCAATTGTACCAGCGATTGTTTTACTGTATCAGACTCACTTCTGGTTTCGCTATCCTCCTTGCTCGGTTCGAACTTTCTCACGCTCTGCCCATTTTGCCTGTACTCGTTGGCACGTCTCGGTATTCTTTCGATACTACGAGATCGCCAATAAATATACTTTATCTGGACTAATGAAAGCCTTCTGGTTTGCGAGTAATCAAAGGAACCAAGTCGTTGCTGGGCGCGTAATCGAATAGTAGTGGTGATCATAGTCCGTCCTCGACTCAACGCTACCACAAAGTCGCTGATATTGTGATTTTTGACAAATTCATATTAACTTCGATGATGATCTGACATCAGCTTGGAAATCAACAATTATGGCTGTGTAGTATGAAATATGTCTAACCAATCTGCTGCTCTCGACTAATCTTCGCATCACATTAAAATATTTTAAATAAATTAATAACAAGATCCTAGTAGAAATCTCTTAGAAACATAGAGGTTGCTATGTTTGCTTACGTTGTCTGTACTTAATTGTCTAATTCATTTTTGTGCTTTGTTTTATTCTAACTAATAATATTCAGCAAACAGTATATTCTCAGCAATTTCTACGTCCATGTTGTGACGCAATTTATCATGTAATATTGTAAAATATTTGCACATACACGTAACAGTTATTGTGTTTGTCATTACCATATGTGTCCATATTCGTTTGTTCTTAGTTCCTTGTTTGCTTCTTGATAAACTGTTATCAAGATTAAACACAGCTCTAAGCTGTCATTCGCACTAAGGTATGTCATACTTATTCTTTGTTAATAATGCAGGGTGCCATTTTCCAGACTGACAGATGCTCTAAGACCCATTGATATCTCATGAGTCGGGTCTTGTAACTAATTTATGTCTCTTCCTCAATGATGGACCACTTTCTTGATAAACCGCTGTTTTATGAACTTCGGTTTCGCATGTTACTCAATCGTATAACTAGACACTTCGATAGATTTGACAGAGGTACTACTATCAAATGCAATAGTTTGTGATGCGTCATTCAGAACACAACAAAAGGAAACTATTTTGATCAATATTGTTTGTTAGCAAACAGTATATTTTGCAAATAGATTTTCTGATATATTTGGGCAAATTTATACAAATAGACAGAAACAAGTCGGTTTTTGTTTAAGTATTGTATTTGTTTCATCAATAATCGTAGACTAAGCTACAATATTTATGACCAATCTACATTCTTTTGGAACAGTGAAGAAAATACACATACATTTATTCCTTTTCAATCATACTGTTAATTGCTAACTTTTGATGGTCTTACCACAATTTACATTTCTTCACAGGATTCATTGGTGAACCAATTGGACAGTTGTAAGCTATAGCAAATTCTTCAGTATTTGACAAAGCACCTATCACCCTGAAAGATTATAAAGAGAGAAATCAATACGATATGTTTGTAAATAATCAGACTATTTGACCTGGAATATAGGTTGTGCAATGATTACACACTTAAATATCCTGTATCCAGTCCTTAACGTCAAATAAATATCCACTAATGAGTGGTCTTGTTTTTAAAAATGGAAGTATTTCAGTGCTTTCTAGCGTCTTCAAGTTGGATAATCCGTGATCGAACACAACCTTAAATGATACTCATATTCAGAAACATCTTCAAATTAAGCATATTCTCAGGAGCATAATGATAGTTATGATTACAATAGCTTTATTCAGAGATGAATTTTGGCTAGCAGTGGAGTCGGAGAAGCATGTGACGTCCTAGTATCTGTGTGGATAACGTGATGGCGTTGAAGCGAATGGTGCTGAGTTCGAGTCTCTGAGTGAACATCAAATATGGAATGCAGATTTATCCAAATGACGACTCTCAAATAGGATGAAATGCGCGTTCTGGATTCCACATGTAGCCACACCTACATCTGCTAATAATGCTTGTGACTGATGGCAATATCGAAGCAATTCTCATGGGATAAGTACATTCCGATAAGGGACTGATCGATTGCCGTCCCAAACATCAATGGGAAGGTTCAACCAAGTAATACGAGAACGAATTAATAGCTCTATTCATTATGTCAAATTTTGTTGCCGTGAAAAATTCTGAGTGCAGATTTTCAGTTTGAGATTGCGCTCATATTGAATCGCTCTATTTTGTAAGTCAACCATAAACTGTATAAGTACTCGGAGTTAATATATATGATTATTCGATTTAAACAAGTCTAAAACAACAAGGTTTATTACAACAATCGAACATTTAAAAAACAGGTGGGTCAAATGTTATAAGGGTAGCTTTTATGTTCTGATAAAAATAATGAACGGTAACTTTGGGATCCATTTGTGGACCAATACTATGCATTTACTTTCTATCGTACAATTGCTAAATAACTAAATTATTTATATTCATGAGCTTTATTTTGAACTATAAATTATTGTTCTGTGTTTACCATTTTTGAATTATGCCCTGTCTATCACTTACTATCTCTCTGTTTGATTGGAATATAAACTTAGTGTGTTTGAAATATGACTTATACCGCAGAGGCAGAGATTGGTGTTCTAGACTTAATTGGCTGGTCTAGGCAGGAAGCAGAACCGACAAATAATCTAGACAGCTAGTACGGCTTTCGTGTGTCATTGGTCCGGTCGATAATTCAGTGCACTATAACTGGCGACACATATAAACAGATCACGCAGACCACAAGATATAACAGTAGCCACCTAAGTTAACTTGTTGGACAATGATTTGCAAGTATATCGATTTGTGTAAATGATCAGAGACGTTATTTCTGTGTCCGAAATTACTGACATGTTTCATGAAATGTTATGGTAATTGAGATTGATTTACTTTCTGATTGATTATAACAGAGTGCATAACTTATGTCAGTGTTATTAACCATCAGTTTTATTCCTATTTTACTTTTGATATTTATAATAATACTTGACTTCCGAAAACAACCATTAGAATCATACTTGGTATATACATAAATTCAACATTGCTTTAACCATTGATGTTATTATTTGGAATCAATTGCATCATAAGCATTTGCTTTCATACAAATTATAACATTAAACAGTCATTAAACATGCCTGAAAAGTTTTAAAGCTTACCTATATCGAGGTACAATGTGATCAACGTGATTTTTGTGGTAGGAACGTGAATCCTTGTGTACACGGCCACATAAAGTCTATATATTTTGATTAAACATAGAATTCAAAATACCATGTTACCATTGATCGCGTTTTACATTACCATATTATGATAGATATTATATTTGCTATCATCCACATTGCTAGTTATATAATCAACTAAGCATCAATGGTAAAATGATAGATAAACTATTGGTTGTATTATTTGCTTCGATAATCAGTGACTTGCTTGAGGCACATATGAATGAGAGTATGTAAGAGATTGACATATTTTAAACGACAGAAAACACTTTTGCTTCTGCCACCAACGAAGAACCATTACACTTTACAATTATAACGATTTTAAAGTATACGCGAAATGGGATACCATTTGAACCAAGTATTCTGAGTGAATACTATTAATTAATCATCCTTTGATTAATTTGATTACCTTATTTACTCACTAACTGAAAAAGCCGTTGAAATGAAGTGGTGAAACGTTTGAAATTCTAATTTCCATTCATCAGTTCATCACAAATACATCATGATTTCATCATTACAAGCTTGTACTGTCTTCTTCCTATTACATTTGAATAGTTTTAGATTTTTCATATACTAGTCACTTGTAAAACCTCATTTATATACGAAAATTTTAATAATTCTCACCTTGAATGCTGCACACAAATAAGAGAACATATTTACTAACTTACCTGTGCAAGTTTCAGGAAAAATAATCGATCGAAAGCTAAGATTTCGCTTGTATTTTGAACACGTTGTCTATTTTGCAATTTCCGGTATGTCTGAAAAGTGGTTGGAACGGCCACATAAAATATTAATCATTCATAACTAATGCATTGACAATACCATACTGACAGACAATGAGTGCTAACATTAATTTCAGTTATAATTTGGTACAATTAGATTTCATTAACCTACTTGTGTTTATCTAGAATTTCGCTCGAATAACTATCTAACTTATCGTTATCAAATAATCAATTACTGGTGGATTGTCTAACAATTTAGACTTCAGGTGAACTGAAATAAATGTGTAAATGAGGGAGGCGATTTCCAACGGTGAATAGCATCCGACATTGTTAGCTTCGAGACTGGTTTTCAGAGTTGTAATTGGAAGCCTGACTCGTGAAGTTGAGCAGGTTTGAAGTAAGGTGATCACAGAATGATGATATTGCATCACTATCATACAAAGTCATAAACTGACTGGATTTGAGAATCGGTCTGTTACCCAACATTTCCAATGGTCATTGGAGAAAACGGATGAATGGATTTCAGATTTCAAAAGGAAACGTTAAGAATCATTCAATTTATGTTTTTGAAACTAGTAACTCGTGATCACATGTGTGCTTCGGTACTGTTCATACTATGAACTGATATTCCAATCTACTCATCTGGATGTAGATGTAAATGTTAATTTTTACAGTCACACTATCGAATATTATTTATTGTAGAGTGATACTACATAGTCATATGATATTTATATTTTATTTATTCACATACATTGTACATTATTTTCAATCCTCCATTGTCAGCCAAAATTTCATTACGCGTCCCAATTCTATCGCTCTAAATCAGTTGAATTTGGAGAAAAAGAGGAATATTTATCAAGGTTTGTGACGAATTAAACTGATCATTTTGTTTTATTCTATTTACTACAACGGATGAGACCACTCGGATTATCATGGATTCACTGGACTCATAAACTGGTTGTTAAAATGTGAAAACAACTATTCTGCTAGAACTATCCACAATTTCATTGTTGGATGATCGAACAGATTGCTTCAATAACAGCAATGGATTTGTACAAACAATAAATGAATCGGTATCAAATATCACAATATTTAATACTTATTTCAACCTCAAAGCAGCATGGATTGAATTGTGGATTAGGCAGTTCTCACTCTACTCAATACTCACCTACAATGTTGATTTTTATTTCAGTCAATTAATTTACACTTAATATAAATGATTTCGTGTAGACAAGTTAATTATTCTGCAGCCACAAGCTATTTTCATCCACAAACGATAACTTTGCAACTCTCACTACTGTCATTGTCTCAGTCACTTTTATCTGGAAAGCTCTCCAGCATTAGCGACTTATAATATCTGAAAATTGTGAACTATAATATCACTTATCTGCATTGAATAGCATTTGAATTTTCAGTATCCTGAAACTTGTATTCCCCTGAATGTATTCGTAATAGTGCTTAACAAGCGCCAACAAAACATGGAGATTTCTAATTTATTTCAGATGCTTGTAAATATTAACATGGTTTCGATGAGTCTGTTCCGTGACATATACATACGTATCACCATGCTCAATCATGACTATTGTGATCGATATTCCAGACTAGTTATGGTTGGACGAAGTTAGGTAACATGCGAATTTTCCTTTGTGTGTTACGAACCTGATAATATTGACTTCGTCGAACAAAATGTACAACATTGAAATGATTTCCTCAAGTAATCATTTCGTTAGAAAGGAGGTAATGTATTTTGAGAACTCTGGGTAGAACTTCAACTGAATGCTTAGAATATTGAGTGAAGGTGGAGGAATTTGGAATTTCCCTGAAATAAACTTCCACAAATATTTCCCCAAACTCAATCGTCCTTTCTAAAATTAGTGTTTGTCGCTAAGTAATAATGTGAACCGTTTATGTAAATGGTAATTATCGGTATACAGATCCACTGTTTTGAAACACTTACCTTCTCAAACGAATCAGGATGTCTTTTGTAATGAGATCGTAGACAATCTGTTTGCTTCATATTTGCAATCATTCCTGCATGAGAAGCTCTACCTAGTCGTTGATTCCCGTTGAAATCTTCGAGAACACCTTGTATTTATACAGAAATAAATGAATAGATTCAAATCTGATTGAAAACTAAATTGTGTTACATTCCATTTTTATTTACAATGTGTTATTAAATGATATTAGAAAAGTTGATTATTTGTGGGAATTTAATCCCGTTCTTATAGAGCTATTAATTGATTGAACCTGCATTATCGTACTATTAGTAGTGCAATTATTCGTCATTCAAAGTTAAAAATCTACACTCAATGATAGTGTTCTCTATGTTCTGACATCTCTGAGCGACAGTTTGTGTGAACTGGTAAATCGACTTTATTATAAGTATACAACGAATGAGGTTCTAGTTAATATTCGATACACGAACTTATGTTAGATGTACACATTTGTTAAAAATATTTTGGTTGTCTGTCGAAACATACAAGCATAGTTAAATATATCCTTGTCTGTTCTTAAAGTGCGTTTCACCTCATTGTTTCAACATAACACTGAACCGTAATCATCTAATCTAAGCTTCGGGAACTCAGTCAATAAACATGGTAAAATAAGGAAATAATGTAAACTATTTGAAATAGATTATATGGCTACCGAACCACTTAAGTATGGTAAGTGAACTAATCAGCTTGCAAAAACACAAACTCATGCTGTTCAATGAAAACGGCGATAATGATGTATTGTTCTTAATACTTCGTAGTTGAATTGCTGACGCCATCAAATTTAATGCGTCCTTTAAAATAAGAGATCCGTCCGATTAGAGCATATGGTGAGAGTGTTGAAAAATAATCAAGATGAATCGAGGTGAAATTATTTCATTGATCAAAACATGAAACAGGATAATTGCTCGTGCGCATACTACAAAACAAACTACTCTCAATCAAATTACCTATAATATCTATAGCATGCATAAATTCGTGGGCCATAATCCAACCCAATCCAATGTATCTGGTTGGTGAATCTTCATACTTTTCATAAAATGGTGGTTGCATCAATCCGGCGTAAATGTATATGCGGTTTAAATTAGCCAAATAGTAGGCCTCAGGTAAATAAGTTGGCGAATCACGTAGTGACCTATTTTTTCAAAAATGAATGCAAACATCACGTAATAAATATTGTAGCATCAAACCTCAATATTTCTAAACACGTGAGTAAAGCTCAACCACAACACTGAAATCTCAAGTAGTCATGACAATTAGCAACTGTAAACTACGGTTGAAATGTCCTACTTTAGTGCATATAGTGTTATATGCTTGTGGTCTTATTACTACCGACTGGCCCTTTAAGGTACCACTCAGCAATGAAGAATACCCAATGACTGATACAAGCTACCACTTGACTAGTTTCCAAATATGATCCATTGCGTGCCTTCAGATATCTGGTAGTTTGTTTCACTAAAACGTACTTTTACTATCTCTTTTGCTTTACAATGGTGTTAGCAAGAATATGTGGACTCTACATTGATCCACCTCGAATAACAGAGATATTTTCATTTCGTTCTATAATGATTCCTTAATCTTCATTATTTCAGAACTATAACGCAAGTGAATTTCATATAATGAAATAGTACGTCGACTAAAGACAACATGCTTAACACAGTATTGAAATTTGGTTAACAAGTGAATGTTAGTTAGCTAAAATTATTTTAGACATAAATATTCAGACAATGGCAGAATGGGCCATTTTGTCAGCTTTTAACTATGTATCAATGACTGCATTAAATACGTTTGATAGATATGAATGTGGTCAGTTTGAAGTGGGGTTTCCCAACTAACATTCTTAATGCAATCTACACTGTTAATCACTAATTGGTAATCTATGTTTCTAAGTTATTTGTTTTTGAATGTTTTCCCACTACATTGTTATCATTTGATTCGTTTGACCAAAGAAAATCACTTATTTTCGTTGACTAACTAGCCGTTTTTACTCACATAGTATTCTATGAGTGAAGTTTTGTGGTTGTCATCAAAATTATTGGATCGTCATGTTCAGTCATCATTCGTTATGCATCGGTGTTTTACTCACATGATGATGAAACGATTGAGTTCACATTACTCAATAGTGTTATAATGTGTAGGTCGAACGTGTGAATATTTACAAGTGGACATTTTATTATTGTGAGACAGCAGTATTTCATTACAATTCACTGAATATTCTCGGTGAGAAAAGAAACTGGCGCTGCATCTAGTGTAGATGTTCGTTTAAGACAAGTAAGTTTCCATTGGTGTTAAGGTGAAAAGCGAGTGTTATTTCATTATGTGGAGACCAGTGTAGACTAGATGCGTCAATGTAGCTATTCTCATTGATTTATGGCCAAAATATAAACAAAGTTTGAAACTAAACTGAATTGAATAGAAAAATAATGGCTTACGTTTTGCCAGCTTTTTTAATTCTTCTTCTTAATTTCTCTGTATACATGGCTTTCTGTGCATAATACTCATTTAACACATGATCTTCGGCATTTATAGGATACTGAAATTCAAGAGTTCGAATGATGATGATGAACTAAGTGGAAAACTCGGTTTATCGAAAGTTATTTAAATTTAGACTAGTGTAATTCATCTTGACAAAGATATGATAGCGTGTACATGGATGTGTTTAATATTAATTTGATTGCCATCACCAACTGACGTCATCTAGAAAGCCACTAAACCATGTGACCATATCTACACGCTAACAATGAGCTCTCGTTTCCGGTGTGCACGTGGAAAGTTGTAAACATACGACAAACCATTTGTTATGTTATGCAATACGGCTTGCATTATATCAAGGTAGTGTAAAGAAACGAATAAATCAGCTTAAAATGGGTTTCAGTATGAGAAAATTGTCAACATCTCAGTTTAATATGTACACAGTGAGATTAATAATTATCCTAATGAAAGAATTGTTTCGTTTTCATCAAACTCACTTTGTATATCGCTGAAAGATCTTCTCTTCTTTCTGATCCACTAACATTCGAATAGAAAATGAAAACCTTGGTTTGATTAATCTATAACATTTATTAAATTGTAACAAACATGTTATACTGATTGAACATCAAGCTAACCTTGTCCGTGATAAACTGCTTTGTATTTTCATTCAACCATGTGGCTTGTGTGACTGATTCAATTATGGAGCTTCTCACTTCTTCAACTAGTTGTTGAACCTTTAAATGAGAGATAGAAATTGTGTTGAAAATAGGGTCTCATCAGACGTGCCTCAATTTTTTCCATAAATATATTTTGATTTCAGTAAGCACTTATCGCAGTTAAGATTTACACTTGTCTGGTCATTCAACATCTAATACTTACCACTTACTTACGCATGTTAACCCTAATAATTTCCTCTTCATCTGGAAACTGATTTGTTCTCTCTCACAGTATGTTGTTACTGACGATATCCAGTAGCCGGACATTGAGTATCTTGTGCGGACAATTATTTATAAATACTTGTACTATACTAATGGTGGTTGTGGTAAATCTCAACGTTTCGACTCCTCACAGTAGAACTGTCCTGACGTTTGTATTGAAGATCCTAACTGTGACGTTGGCCGACAGTTGTTTTGAGATCCATATGTTCTTCAATTGTAGAAATGTTGTCCTTGCTTTGCCAATTCATACCTTCACATCTGCATCAGGTACTCCTTGCTCATTCATAATGCTTCTCAGGCACGTGAAAGATTCCACCTATTCCAGAGCTTCTCAATAAAGTTTAATTGGGTTAGTGTTCTCTGTGTTGTAATTGAGAATCTTGCTTTGTCCCTATGTCTATTGAGGCCTAATGCTGCAGAGACTGCTTGTGCATTGGTTGGCTTCACCAGCATTTGTTGTTGTGTGCGGAATGGATGAACTAGTTGGTTGGCGAGGTTCAAATTGTTCAAGTGCATCCAAGCTGAATATTGTATCCCGTGCTTCCTCTTAGATGTGGAGGTCTTCGTAATCCAGTCGATCACCTGTAAGTCCCTAACACTGTGTTACTTTTAGGTGTGTTTTCGATGTGTTTCAAAATTGTATTTGTTCTTAGTTAAACTAACGTGTATACTCTCAACGAATAAACATCTGCTGAATGTGCATATGATTTAGTACCGTTCCTCAAACTGGCAAGTATTGATCTTAGCTTAGGAGGTAATTATGAGTAGAACAATCTCACGCAAATATGTGATCATGCAAAGTGTCAGGTGAATAACAGTAGCTGACGTTACGCAGAATGCTCACTATTCATACCATGAAATATCTGGTGGTATTATTAACCTGACTTCAGGTGAATGGTACCTATTCAGTGTTACGTAGTTGTTCGACAATTGCTTCCGAAATATCTCTCCTTTAGTTTGTGAATACTGGTTTTAGTAATTACTTCAACTTGAGGATCTGTGTTGAACATGTGCATGGCTATCAGTATTAAACATCGATTTGTGTTGTTTGGTGTTATCCAACTGAGTCAGAAATCGTTGACTGAAATTTTAATGAATATGAGTTACAGATTATAGGGCAACACAGCTGGGCACGTGAGGTTGGTTTGTACTTCTGTGTTCAATCTGAATTATTAAATTATAATTAACATTGATGGGACGACTATTTGACAAACTGAACGAACCTCATTTCTTTGGTTTTGAGTGATGTGAGAAGTCAGGAAGTGCTTTTCAAGTGTCCATGGAAATACGGTCTTCACTCGATTCATACAATAAGGTGAGAAGTATGTGGAATTCCCTATTCAAAACACAAAATATTGGGAAGCATTCTGTTAAGGAGATACATGACAAGTTGATCAATTTCGGAGTAATTTGTTTTAAAACAGTGCATATGATGTGTACGGTAATCAATTTGCTAACTGAATTAAATCATGTAACTATGTAGTGACCCATCATATAACTGAGGATATCGGTGCAACTTGGCTCATAATAAAGATTTAATGATATTATATTCTTTATCTATCATTCACCAAACTGGTGTATTTTATTGACAGTGTATAGAATCTTCATCTTAATTTAACTTAAAGGCACATCGGATTGAAGTGAGAACGCATGTCGTCTATTTGACCATCTACTAGAGAACTAATTATTGAGGATATTGTTAAAGCATGGCGCGCTCATTCGTGAACATGTATCAAACTGGATATAAATGGTAAAGATGATGTTAGTAACTTTGATGAATGAATTTCAACGAAATAACAATAACTATATATTATTATTCAATTCACTTGGATTTGATTTGTTCACGAAATCATGAATTTCCCGATCTTCTAAACGACGATTTTGTTCCGCCATAAAATTCAAAACAGCCAGGTTGTAGAGTGCGCTTTGAAAAGGTCATTAAAAATTGAAACAAAGCAAAACGATCATTGTTGTTTGACTGCTTAAAAACGTGATTACCATGTTATAAATACCAGGAAACATTGAACATCTGATTTGGTCCAGTATGGACTGGTGAGCATTGAAGACCAACAACCCTAACAGTGATCGAAACCGAAACATCCAGATCTCGCCAAAGATTCACAACCATTAAAACTATTGGAATGATCCCTGATGACTATCATTTCAAATGTAAACTGATGAGGTGTCCAATACCATAACCAAATACTTGTCAAGTTATCCTTATTATTCAATGTGGACGATTCCTGACGAATACAACCTACGAATAAAATAATCTACGCAAAACCCCTTCCACTAATCTACATAGATGTATTTAAAACGCCACTTCAGAAACACATTGAACGGATTAACAGATAGTCCATTAAAAATAAAACCAGTGAAGTAAATCCTGCAAACAACTAAAACACTTAGAATGCTTTCTGATTCCTCAAACATATACAGACTTTATGCACTGTCTATAGAATGTTCATTATCGCTGGTCAAGTCACAAAGATATTTACATCAAATAAACTGAGATTCTCAAGGAAAATTAACTCATCCGTTACTGTTTGACACATCATGTATACCAAATAAAGCATGCTCTCAAAATATGACACATGTTGTTTTGTTTTCCACAATATGCACTAATGACGAAAACATTATCCTTGGAAATGTCAAATTAAAAAGAATCCAATGCTTTGTTTGTAAGTGATCACCCAGCATTGTCAAAATTGATCACTACTACTGTCTTTCGTTTACTTCGAATACAAATAATCAAATGAAAATTCAATTTCAGCAAATACCTTTTATCTTCATCTGTTTTCAATTGTATTTGATGGAATCCACAACGATATTGTAGCGAAAATTTTTCTTCAACCTTTATTGGTAATTTATGGTAGTTTCTAAATCCAGTTTGATTGAACACTTTGTCAAACAAATAATCCCAATCGATCTAAACAGACAGTTTTGTAAATTTTCAAAATATAATTTCAACAAACAGTTCGATTTTGTCATTATGTTTGTGTTAATGAGAAAATTCGACAATCCACACCCACTAAGATGATGTAAAATATGTCTGATATTCGTAGAGCAGTATTACTGAGTTATTACTCGAGTCAGTAGAATAGTGAAATCGTCTACTTATCTAATATCCTAGAGTGTTACTAAACATTATGTTAGGTCCCACTGCTATCGATATTGAATTCTATCGATAAAGTTGCAATGCCACAACCAGTCTAGTGACTCGATAGCGTGTGCACCATATTGAGATGTAAGCTCGTTTGATGTTAGTTTAGAAAGTGTCTGAATCATGATTTAACAAGTATATGTTGGGTCGATATGGGAAACCATTTATATATCTCTACATCACAAAGATATTCAGTTTAATATGGTATCATCTAATAATCTATCAAAATTACTGGTTTCAACCTTTCGTCTCGTGGTATCTAAGAATCAACAGATTTTTATTTATATCTTTTTAATTTGTATGCAGTTTGAAAGGATATAAATGGATTTACCGGTGGACAAATGGCCTTTAATTCTTCAATGCTAACCGATTGGTTTGTTTTAAATGGTGTGGATGTTTGTGGATCCAAGAAAGCCTGAGAAACAAAACCGAAACAAAGAATAAATACATGGAAATAACCAAACCCTAATTTGTATATGATATGAAACAGATAATGTGTTTAATGTTGAAATTAGAATTTTGTAAAGCATGGAAACAATTTCCCAACTAATGAGCATTTTATATATCTTGTTTAAATGATATTAAATAACTTATAGTAGAGTCTATGATACACTGGTTGAATCTTCAACTGATTGTGATTATCGTGTAGGTAAGTTGAAATAGGTTTGCGCAACTAGTGTTTGATTAATTCTGTCAGGAACATTTCAAGAGACTTCGGTTGGTATATAAAGAAACTGAATACGATATTTCAATATTTTTTTGCACGGATTCCATGGAGTGAGTTTCTCTTACATAAGTGATTTTATTGCACCAACTGCGAATGGAATAACTTTCGGAAGATATTTTTCATTACTGTTATGAGAACCGACTAATGAACCGTTTGATTTGAAACGATGAAAACCTATCAAATGCATTTGTCCGAACAATCAGTCTCATCGTCGTTTAGTATTACTTTCTTGTTAGCAGATCGTTCACTGATCTGGCAATGTCAGATGAAACATAAATCCCATAGTTTGGTGATCGCGTATACTCAGTAGTCAGTGTACTTTCAGGAGGATGTGGGGATAATTTACTGAACGGAACGACTACTGCTGATGAACAGTAGTAGATTTGAGGTCAGCATGGTATATATTCACTCTCCAAGTAGTGTAAATGCTTCGGTGTGCCGCTGTCGAACCTTGGTGAGTAGGATATATTCATATGAGTGTGTTCAATCTACGTTTTAAACTCACAATAATTATTTGTTGTCCATTCATAATTTATTTTCATTAGTAACAACTGTGTGATTGAGGTAATACCACATTCAGTTCGCCGTCACATATTGTGTTTAGTGAATAAAGGACTCAACTTGTCAACAACTGATATTTTTGAGTAATACTGTGGTGTGGTCTACTTATATCCATATAAGTAGTATATGGTGTGTGTCAAACATAGAATGTATTTCGGCAGAAGACCGATGAGGAAAGAACTGAAATGAAACGCAAACGTCTGGAAAGTGCATGAGCAATGGAATAAGAGAAGAAACAGTGAAGATTGAAACAATTGGTTGTTAATTTGCAAATTGACTGTTCATTGTTCGGTAATCAGAATTTACTGAGATAGTCTGTAATTTTTGATTAAATACATTCGATTGTCCCCAGTCGTGTTCTGTTCACTGCAATACAACTAGACATTCATGTGGAATGTTTAACATACATCACGTAGTAGTCAACATCATTTATTAGAAAGTAAGGCACAACAAACATTAGGCAACTCACATTAATTAGGCGATCAAATAACTGAAAAGTATCATAAAGCTCCGAATATTGTGACACTTCAATATTTAGTGAATGCACTGATAAATAAAGCAATGCCTTGATCTTTAACATTTCATTCTATTTGAAGGAAGAATTGCAGCATTTTTTGTTATGAAAAGAGGAAAGAAGATCGAAATTTTTATGAACGTGATAACCAAGACATTATCGAACTTTGATGGCACATCTATAATACACAACTGGTTTGTAATGTTTATCTCGACAACTATAATTTCTGAATATTTCGACTATTGTATTTATATAACTGCTTAATAATTATACGTTTGAGATAAAGAATCAGTTCCATGCAAAGATTTTGATCAGAGTGACCACATGTATTTTTTCTGAATAAATGAGCGCGTTATCAAATTCATTCAGAATTGTATCACTCAGTTCAAACTGATCCCACACTCGACAGTAAATAAGATACTGATTCTACCTAATGTAAAGTACTTCATTTCGTGCGATTTTGTACACTAAGAGTCATGTGCGTTGATTATACAGCTCTTATGATCCTTGTGGATATTGTTGCCACCATCTATTTCAAACAGACATTCAATGAAATAGATGACTTTAGAAGGTGATATAAAATTTATTACACATGTAAATAACCAGAACATTCATTCAAATCTCATTGTTTGTGGTTGGTTGTGTTTGTAGTCTTTGTTGACTTCCTGTGCTTTCGGTTTACATTAAATGACATGGTTGGACTGATATTAGACGATGCAACAGGTTGGACATTTTCGTATGAACTGAATTATTGAATCCATTGTTCTCCTTCTAACCGAAATATTATTTTACTACGATTCAACGTTCTATCGTTTAGGTCTGTGTAAAATTAAATGAAGTGAGTGTGCTGAGTTGCCAGTGACTTCGCGTCTAGTCATTTCTAGAATACTGATCACACAAAATACTTTGACTGAAATAACGTGAAATGATGCGAGATTTTGTAGGTAACCTGGCTTTCATTTAACCAAACATTCACCTTTTGTCTGTTTGTAATAACCAAGATCGTGTTAATTTAATTTAAGAATTATCACTCTCTGAAGAAGTGACTTACACAAAGTCGCAAATTGTCAGAAATTCAATTTTCTACTCAGTGTGAAATTACAAATATGCTATTTGGATATCGTATAATAATCTGTGTTACGATTTGTGGATTTCAGTAAACGGAAATATAGTACACTCAGATTATTGACATCCATCTAATGTCTCATGAATTTAACGAATAATACAATGGACAATAAATTATGTTCCATACCAGTAAATTTAACATTGAGAATGACTAATATAATCTGCAAATTACCTCCTTCTTCATGAGACTTTGATCTGAAGTTAGCTGACCTGAAGAGATCTGATAGAAGTAAAATTATATTAGAATTCATGCAGATTGATAAGAATGAAACAATATAAGGAAAAGTCCGAATTTATCAACATTCAACATATTATGAAACAGATAAAGAAACCCGACTTCGTAAAATATTTGAAACGAGACTGGGAAAGTGGGAGTATACAACATTATGGTTAGCATTTATCGAATAACAAAACCTACAGCCAAAAATACTCGAAAGAATAACTGGTTCCCCAGATCGTTTACAGATATTTAGATGATATCTGAATTCTACCATATCCATATATATTTTGATAGTCGGATGAAAATTTACTGAATATTCGCATGAACTACCTATTTCTCAAACGTTTTGCTCTGTGGTATTTCCAAGTCATGGGAATTTCGAAATTGTCATATGTGAAATAGTGGTAAACCAAATAATGGTTAACTCGTTATTAGTATAAAGTGTATTCTTGGAAGATGTTGTGGTAGTAGTCGATGAAATTACCACCGATTCCATAGTTTGTTTCTAATTATAAAGATGATTTATCTTTCCACGATCCAAGACGATATCAACGTAATTCATGGCAAATAAATAACGAAAGACATTTCTAATCGACTGATTGATTCTAAATTGTCTGTTCGGTCCAACTTTTAGAATTCGACAACCAGACATGGGTTTGGTTTACTGAAGTGTATTTCAGAAGTATTGGTTACAAGGAGAATCAACTAATTGCGTCTTCCTCCTATGAAAAGTTTTTCTGTGCTATGAACTTCCAATTCATTTTATTCTTTCTCTACTATAAAGTGAAAATACAGAATTACACTGCAATACTGGAGTACTACACGTTTCTCTTACAACTGAAATATTATTGGATTGTTAATTCCTGTGAAAAATTTCTATTTAATGGTGTTGATCAAATGCACAATGAAGTAATCAATCAAACTGAACCGACATCTCGCACATTATGTATTAATATTATGTTGTTGGAAATGATCGGCATGATGCCGTATACCTTGAGTTAGTTGGCACATGTCAACAAGCCATTTTGGCTTTCATGATATCAGTGATTTTCCTTTTGATGTTCTGACCGGTATATTGTGACAAAATATTGTAATAATAAAGAACTCCAGATTCATAGTTCATGATTCGCTTACTTCAGTTATGTTTTATGATTTGAGGTCACATAATATGTATTATCAGGTTAATATAACATGATTTTTCATTTTAGTAATACAGACAAACTTATCACTGCTGGGAAACAATCAATGACAATCGAATTCTCAATATCCATTGAAGATTGATATATCTTTTTTAAATAATCACTTACCATTGGTTACAATACCCTCATATAGAGCACGCCTCGGGAAACTATTCTGATAATTTAGCACTCAGGTTTCTAGTTAATCAGACTATTTAGTTTAGTTTATGTGGATAATATATCGTAGTGTTGTTTCGCTTGTCCCTGTGACTTCATTCCATTACTGGTTGACTATTATGGCTAAATGATCGCATTGTCCATACTATTCAGTCGGAACAATATAAACAGTATGTATTTTATTGGATAGTTGGATGGTGTTTAATTGTGTCATTTTATAACACATAAACTGCTGTCCATATAAATTATGAATTCAACTTACTCGAATCGCTCGATCCTCTTCATCGATATCCAATGAAAATAAGGGTGAATGCCCTGTTGTGCTTATCAGTGGTAGGTATATATCAGTCAGACTCAAATTTAGAATATTTCTGGCAGCCTTAGATGTATTTGTCACATTTGTTGAAAGAGATGTCAATAAATCCCATTCACCGAATGCCATCGAAATTAACTGACGCAACTGATCTCTAACATGATCATTTGAATCATAAGGACCTTTTATACAAGCTTCGTAAAATTTGCGAGTAGTAGACAGGTGGGGATCATCCAAGGCATATGACTTGTTAGCTTGATTTGAAAAAGTCGATGTTTGTGAGAATTGTAATTGGGTAGTGAAGAGATCAAATAAATTTACAAATCATATGAACAGAGACAATTTGAAACATATTGCTCATGAAATAGGTACACGGAATATATCCACTAAGATTTAAGATGATGAAGATTGGTTAGACAAATTGTCTTCCATTCGGCAAATTCATTTTCGAAGCTGCGCAATCGCGAATGTGTACTCATTTTTCAAAATGGTGATAATTACAATAATAGTGATAATGAAATTATGTTAAACATGGTAACAGTGAGGTAGAATAAATGGCACTATCAAAACGTTATTCTTATCAGTGGAAACAGATAATAGTTTTATTGTTAATGGCTTGAATATTTATTAAGAAGATGAATGAGGAAATTGTAGTTGGGAAAGAAAGGATCAGCACGACAAGATAATACAGTTATTTATTCTGTCCCACTGGTACCATGTTTAACATAATTTTATAATAACTATCATTGTAATTATTATCATTTTGAAAAACGAGTACACAATTGCGACTGTGCAGCATTAAAAATGAATTTGCCGAAAACAAAACACATCGTTGAACCAATCTTCTAATATAGCCTAGTCATGTTCATAAATTGTACGCCTTACAATCCTAGTTATATTAAACTTATTCAAATAGTATTGAGTGAGAATTCCAGATCACATGCTGAAAGTAATCGTGCATGAGAAGCGATTTAGAGAACATATATGTAGTAGCTCGTTAGAAAGTGTATAGAGTTATTCAACTTGATCATGACTAGTTTTATTCGTCTGATTAATCACACTCTATTACAAATATTCGAATGAGGCATTCAGTAATCCCTGATTATCTGTTAACTTCTTCTTCAGTTGAAAAATCCTTCATTGCTCTTCAGGTGAATCTCAGCATCAGATACTACTTGAAGTGATTAGTTCCATTTTTATAGTCATTTCTTAATAAAATAATAGTAATATATATATATATATATATATATATATATAAACACAATCATATCATATTGTTGGCAATATGAAAATACTTGCCAATGATGTTATAGAAGTATTGGTCAGTGGCTATTTCGACCTGTTTAAAAGTGTTAATATCCCGTTCATTACTCGGTATTGGATTGTTTCTCTCCCACTCTGTGCATGCATAAAGATAAAAATTTTCACATGGATTCATAGTACGAAAACCGGTGGTTGCATTCTGACTTGAAGTCTGAGACAGTGCTATTCCTATGAGAAAACAAAATAACGTCTTAACAAAATACTAATTCAGATTGAGTAGAAAGATTTACATTATTACATATTTACATATATAAACGTTAGTCTATCTACACACAAATTGAATTTATCACCTTAGCTCACAAAACAAGATCGGCGCAAATTATTCTGACAATAAGTATCAGTTCATGCTGTGTCAAGAAATTCAATTCACAATGGTTGGTATTATCCTGTTGTTGGTATCTCGACTAGAAGTTGGTCAGTGTTAGTTGGGATATGTGGATCCTGTTCTGAATACCTCAATACTTCACAGGTTTATAAAGAGAAGATGGATGCCACTGACAGCCTAATTGAGGACGCATGTTCTGAATCCTACTGATAGTCATAGTTCGTACTATCTAAAGAGATATATTTGTGACATTATACAGGTCATTTTGATCATTTGTATTAAAATTCTTCAGGTAGTCATGTTTATTCTTCACCAGTTCCACTGAATTCGGAAATACAGATACAAAACCGTCAATGCAATGTGAAATAACAGTGAGTTAGAGACTGACCAGTGGCAGTCCGAAACACATCGATGGGAAGATCCAAACAAACAATACTAAGTGAATTCAAACTTCACCCCATCGCACAAGCAAGTGGCTATCAGGACTCAGTGGCCGAGTGGATAACGCGATGGCGTTTGAAGCGAGGGTACTGCGTTCGAGTCCCAAAGTGAACATCAACTCTGAGATGCAGGTACATCCAGCTGACGAGTCCCAAATAGGACGAAACGCGCGTCCTGGATTCCACTGCTAGCCACTATCCATCTCTGCTTACCATGCTTGTGAATTAAGGTATATCGAGGCAATACGCACAGTATGCACATATGCCAATTAGAGACTGACCAGTTGCAGTCCTAAACACATCGATGGGAAAATACAAACAAACAAATACTAAGTGAAGTGAGTTATTTCTCCGTAATCCCATAACACTGACCGATCTCAATACTAAGAAAATTGAAGAAATTTGAACCTTTTTGTGTTTAACCTCAAAGTCAGTGTTTTGATTTCTTTGTCTTGCGTACACGTGACACATCCTCTACGTTGACAGTCCATTATACAACTGCTATAGGCTGCTTAGAGAATTGGTTCATGTCTCGTGTTCCAAGTCACACTGTTTTCACAGTTTAAACTATATAAAGAGATATCTTTGTGACGAATTTAGTCATATTCGTGATCTTTATTTCAATCAGACATATAAGGATCATGAACATTTAGTGAAAAATTTAACATCTGCCAAATTGTAACCCACTGTCATTTATAATAACTGGAGACTTTATACATATTGCTCCAACGGAATCTAGGTCTATCTTCTCATCTTTAAACGAATTATAATTTTTAATACCATTAGTCCATTGTTGCATTACTAGAGACAATCTCATTTTTCGTTATCAACTAAGATACCACACATGATTTTCAAGTGACTGTATTCACCGAGGAGTTTACCGATTAACTATTCGATATCTCACTAACTACCTTCATGTCATCGAGGTGATTGTTGCAAAATGACATTGACTTAGGCGCTGATTTGACTGATATGAATACAAACTGTGAGGTATAAATTCATTTTAAACATCATTAGTGCACATATTTCATACAAATATGATAAATCTGTATCAAAAGACTAATATTTGAACGAAGAATTTAATTAATTTGGATATATAATTGTAGAACCTGAAGAGAATTTATCGAAAAGAATATTCTTCGTTCAAATATTAGTCTTTTAATATGATTGGGATTTTTAAACGATTAAAATCTGTATCATGCAAAATTTAGTTTTCTAACTGATCCCTATAACGAGTTACCTCACATAGAAATAAAATGAGTAGGTCAAGGTCTATAAACGATTTTGATAGTGGGCACACGTACCCAGGTTTATGTTGTGTGATTGCATTATGATTGTCAAACAATACAAGTTATATGAAATATCATCTACGATTATTTTGTTTGGAGAATACAAATTCAAAAAATCTTGTGTCATTCTACAAGTCCATTGTGTCTCTTTTCCACCTGTTTAATGCTGAAGTGCCTATCAACTCAGTGAATTACAAATCAGAAAGAAAACTACAAGTATAAGAAACCTCAATTGCAATGACTGGAGGATTATTCTATTCATAGAACAGACTATATAACGCCTAACAATTAGGCGAAATTAAAATTCACCGTACTGATGAAGATGATATGAAATTTAGATTTAGGAAATTTGTAAAAGAATTAAAGATGACACGACTTACCATGACAACAACTGAAGACAAAGTAGATCATCACTGAAATTGATGTGATTATTAAGACAAACTGGAATTGTTTAACTTTACCATATTGTATAGTGGTTTTCGCTGTAAAATATAGTTGATCAGTAGACATTGTCTTGTATATAGTACTGTAGAATATTTCCTTCTGTTGACACGTGTTCTTCTTATTAAAAAAGGAACAACTGTCACGGAATATATACCAATTTACAAAATTGAATTTCATAAAACATTGGTTAATAATGATCATCATTATTATTGATTTTTGATAAGAATGGAGGAGATCTTATGAGGTCAAACGAAAGTGAAGTGAAGTTATGCAACGTAATTAGTTGTACTCACATTTCACAATTAACAGAGGTCTCAGTCTCTGTTGATTATTCGCTTATTAGCCTAGATGTTTTTAATAAAGCCTGTGTTCAACTATTATTCTGTTCATTGTACGTCTTTTGGTTAGTTTTGTTTGACTACAAACATTGAATCACGTGTTATCAAATCGAGCTGGCACACTTGCGTTCTCCGGTCTACTTCTTTGATCCGATTCTCCAACTGTTTGTCTGTATCAACGAATGTATCGAAAATATGTATCTCAAATCTACTCTCATACTTGACTTATTTTATTCCGTTGTTCTCTAGAGCGAATTATGTTGATAATTATATACGAGGGTTTCATTAACGTCAGTATACGATCGAATTGTAGTCATATCAATGGACCACTGAATATCCTATCAAAAAGTAATAAGAATAAATAATTTAAACACATCAAATAGATTTTCATATTGTCAAATCTGTTTAATTTTATGTTCGGCGTTCTATAAATACACATTTTTATCGTCATTCACGAAGCCCATTGTTTCGGCTTTCTAACTAACTTTCAAACATTTTGCCAAATGCAAGTCGTGAATAAACAAGAATTTGGTGATACAATAGAATTCTATTCTAAGCCAAAGTATATGAAGTTAATGATCATCTGGAGGGCACCTGTTGACAGTAGAATTTTGGAAATTTCTCGAAATTATTCAAAAAGCAAATAATCCTTAGTAAATCTTATAAGTCAAATCAGAATATAAATTTATTAAGAACGCTGACTGAAAAAACATTTTCAACACTTTTAGACCTCCATTTAGATTTTCAGAGATGATAGTCAATACTTTATTAAACCTTATGATAAGCCTACCTTTATGGTATTGAAAAATAAAAAAAATAAAAATTTTCTTTCTAAAGTAAATTAAATAGAAATATACTTAGTATTGTTTGTTTGGATCTTCCCAATGATGTTTTAGGACTGCAACTGGTCAGTCTCTAATTGGCATATGTGCTTGTGCAATGAGGTGAAGTTGAAGCAAGTGGCTATCAGGACTCAGTGGCCGAGTGGACAACGCAATGGCGTTTGAAGCGAAAGGTACTGGGTTCGAGTCCCAGAGTGAACATCAACTCTGAGATGCAGGTACATCCAGTTGACGAGTCCTAAATAGGACGAAACGCGCGTCCTGAATTCCACTGCTAGCCACTATCCATCTTTGTTCACCATGTTTGTAAATTAAATAGACTTTTCATTTTATTTTTATCAAAATAATAACTTACACAATCAAAGTGCCTCAATTAAAAACGAAGTATTTCAGAAAAAACAGACTTTTTTTTTAAAAAAAAAAGAAAAATAAGACATTATAGAACAACATTTGAGAAAGAAAAAAAAGAATAAGTGAAAAGAGATAAACAAAACAGCATATAGAAGAGTGCGGTGATTTTAGACAATAATCTGAACATAGTAAAATATACATATTCATTATGTACAACGAGAAAGAATAATATTGTGCATATTTATGTATTTATGATATTGATATAAGTTTTTTACAAAAATCAACTCATTCTTATCTTTTTCTTTTTTTGTTTGATCATTTGAAAGATCACCAGATCTGTTTTCATAAAATAAAAATGATAAAAAAAATTGATCAAGTCATTTGATCGGCCAAATTTTAACCAATCACCTACACATATACACAAACAGTCAAGAAACAAAAAACATTATCTTTAAAAATAAATTCAACAATACTTTTTTTCTCTCTCTATTTTGTAATTTTGATAAGGTGAACAAAGAACCAAAAAGTATAGGTGTATATATATATATAAGAAAAGGGTAAACTGTATAAAAAGTAAGAGAATAACCAAACCATGAAAGACTGAGCATAGTAAATAAGTTTGTACTTCTTTTATTTTTTTTATTTTTAAAAAAAATAAAAAAAACGAACGGAAAGTTATAAGAATCATTGATTGGTAATATCCCATCAAAATGCTAAGTTTATTTATTAACACAATGTAGTCTATTACAGTGTGCTTATGCTGTACATAACTGTATCATTAACAGTTAAATGTAGAGATAAGTTATAATTTGACATATATATATTTCGATATTTTCTTTAAGAGAATTTGTGGAAATGACAGTAGTTGTACTAAGAATTGCAATGATATAGAAATTTCGATTTACATTTTATTTACTCTTAGTATACAGATCATTATAGAATGAGTAGAGTATCTCTTAATTTCACATTGATGAAAAAAAAAAGAAAATTGCAATTTTATTCATTCATATCGATTCATGTAAAGTTGTCATTTGATTTAGAAGAAAAACATATTGATTTAATTATTGCATTGTACCCAAATGTTTCTATCGGGATTCACATATATATTATCTTGAATCTCATGAAACAATATTTGAATGATATAATAATGGTAGAAGGCAATCACTGGAACCCGCTAATAATAGAAATGGATGTAATAAAAGTTGAGCAGCTGTTGCTCTTCTGAATGGATCACGAACTAACATTAGTCCAAGAAATGAATTTAGTTTCCTAGATGACTGAAATATAGGAAAGAGTTTTTTTTTTAAAAGTTTCTATACAATAGATAATAAATAGAGAATTATTCAATAAAACATTTTAGATAAAATGATGAGATTTTCAAATAACTAATCAACAAACCTGACGATAGTTATTGTGTGATGACTGATAACTGTTGACTTCTGAGGAGTATATTTTTCGCAATTCTTACTTGTATGTAAGGGACTAATGTGACACAGGAAATGTGATTTGAAATACGGTCGTAAAAGATAAATTAAAAGAGAACTAATTTTTCTGATTATGCCACTTTAGACTAGTGTGCATCCAAAACTATGCTTGATTTGTAGAGCATTAAGTTGGCAGTTAAACATCTACATATGAGCTTTAATCAACTGATAAAATAGCACGATTATGAATGTTTTCCACATCACTTAAGTGTAACTATCTTGTTAACCCTACACATGACAAATCAGCAAAACGTGCAACTTTAATTGTCTGCTCACCATTGGTGAAAGTTATGATGAAATACTCCAACTCTTTAACTATATGGTTATAATGACTTTGGTACTTAACCAAGCTAATTGTATAGGAATCACACATCATTTATATAAAATGTGAGTTACTTATATTTCAGATTAACGGGAATGCTAAAATATGAATCAATGGACTTCAACATATCGGTTGATGAACACCATCCTAATATATCTTTATTACTTAATTCTTGTAATGGTGTTGCGTCTAGAACTAGCATTTACGTGACGTTCTAAGCCTAAACAGTTTAGTAGAGCAGTAGTTTTTTTATTTAATGTTTCTATGTGTTTCAAAAGATTTCAAAATCAAATACACCTCATCATAGATTTTTTTCATCAGTAAGCAAATCAGTCAATAATAAAAGGGTACAAACATAATGTTTAAAAAACAGTAACAGTTGCAAAATATGCACCAAAAGCCAAACATATACCATTCATACCTTGTGAGGATACATTAAATGGGGAATAGCATCTCTTTGAATATTTCTCATTGCGTGTAATGGTGGTTCGTTAAAAAATGTTGGTTCGCCATCAACCATTTCAATTAATAAAACACCCATTGACCATACATCAACAGATGTGTTATAAGGTAATCGACTGATCACCTCAGGGGACATCCAATATGGTGTTCCTACAAGACTACGCCTTCGAGGTTGATCAGGAGAGACCTTGATATAAATGCACAATAAACAGATACTTGGAATTCGGGCAGTTGTTCACAGGTATCAGTTAAACATAACCATGGGAAAAATTGTAAATATTGTAAAAACATAACATTACGGTATTTCTTACAGATACATAAAATTCAGTGGCTCCTAAGTTCTGTTTTTGTGAATTGAAAGTAGTTAACAGAAGTGCAACATTTTGTCTTACACAAAAACATGGTTCAAAATGTTTATTCATAAATATTAGAGAAAATATGCTCACCCTACTTGATTTGCCTGGTATAACAAGGAAAGATCAGTTGAAGTGGACTAAGTAACGTTCACCGTAATATATAAATAATTGCATTACTAAGGAAGGTAATGTTAGGACCAAATAACCGTCCATTATTTTTTTGGTTCGCAATAGCTCGTGAACATTTTACAATTGCTTCGTTGCTTAATAAAATACTACTATTCTAAATTCTCAATATAACACTGAAATAAAAACAACATTGTTTTTTCGCATGATTTATTACATCTATCTGAGATTTAACTGTTGAATGAATGAACACTTATGATTATATTTTATGACAGTGCTACAATTTGGCTGCCATCAGAAAGTGTTTACACAAAATCAGCTTAGTAAATTGATTCATTCTTCCGGTCGATTATTAAAACTCGAATTCTGCATTCATAAATCGACCTAGGTGGTGGTTGGATGTAGGTGATTGTATACCGTGAACCTATTTGTTTTTCCCAATTTGGCACTCGTTAGCGAGTTGTACCTGAAATATTTAGGGAACTTATAATCCCTTGGGTATTTGATACCGTGTAACCCAGCTTCAAAGTCACAGACGTTAATATGTGGTTGTTCGGGCCACTATTGACCTTATGTAGGACTAAGTTGCAAAGACAATTCAAGTTAGTTATACTTGAAAGATTTTGATAATATGTTCAATTTTTTGGATATCTGTTGTAAAATAATAAAAATACTTTTGTTTATTTCAGGATAGATATAAAAATGAAATTTGGTATGAAGCTCACATAAAAGTCATACGATTTGTTGTTCAAAATATAAAGAGGATGATAATGTTGAGAAAATTATCGCTGAAACAAAAATAGTTAAGAATAAATTATAATTGAAATAATCTGAATGACTGAAACTCAAATATTTTCAACGTTTTGTCCAGACACTTTGTCTGACTATTCATTTAAAAGTAGTGAACAATGAAGACTCAAATCAGAATCGATTGAAGTAGAAAGGAAGCGTTTCCGAACATCATGAAATAAACACTTGAAGTTTGCATTTTGAATTTATACGGAAACAACATACATACATACTTTCATATTATAACTTACTCTTGCACAAAATCCAAAGTCTGAAAGCTTTACACGTCCATTGATTGACAATAAAATAGAATCAGATTTGATATCTCTATGAATGATACCATGGTCATGCAGAAACGCCAACGCTCGAAGTACGTCACGACAGATGGTGGCTATCTGTTTCTCTGACATTCTACAATATATCAAATGTTAATCACCAAAAAATCATTTTCACTTTGAAGATGAATCAATTCTGCTTTCATGGTTAAAGTCATATAACCTAATTAGTTAACTTACAGTGATTTCGAGATTTGTTACGTCATAAGTTAAAGGAAAAGTACATAGAAAAATATTTCCAAATTATTTAGCTAAATATCTCACTTATAAGAAGAAATCAATTTCAAAATTTTCATAATTTAGTTTAGGAAAATTAACACGATAGGAGATCAAGGAATAACGACAGTAATTGCAGAATACAATGAGTTCGTTATATTTTGATGCTTTTTTTAACAACATACAAGCTAATATGTTCCATTATTTCCAAACACTTACATAACTGCATTTTGCAAATATATTGTGATTCTCAGTTTTTTCGAGTTTGTGAAAGGAACCAACTGTATGAAATTCAATACAGTCAAATAATTGAATAAACTAATATTCATGTCCATCAGCATATATGAAATCAATAATCCATATAAAATTGGCCAAGTTTAAGGCAGATTACATCATTTAACAAAACTGTAACATGTGAATCAAGGAGTGTTGTTTGTCATATAAAAACAAATCGAATCGTTAATGTTGGGATGACTAATATGTAGTGTTAACTTGAATCAGTTTATAAGTGAAATAAAATCGTAAGATAAATTATCAGAATATATATAGTTGACATGGGGGTGAGATAGAACAATGGGATTACAAATCAGAAATTACGTAATATGTAGAATAATATGAATTAGGTCAGATATAGTAAATAGGGGTGGATGCTGAATAAATTTCTCTAAAAGGTTAGCAAGTGTGATAATCATAATAATAATAATAAGAAGAAGAATGACTAGTAAGATGTGTAGATAAAATAAGTTTAAGATATAAAAATGGACATTAATCAAATTAATGTCACCACATTATAAAAGGAGCGGCTGTACATATTTCTTTTGGATGCCAAGCTCTGGCATTTTGATCCGAATAGCAATTGCCTCAGCCATCTGTAGTATTCTCAGTCTGACGGAATTAGGTAGACTGCTGTGAACACGATATATTATTGTGAAAGATTGGTGCATCTGGTAACTGCCGGAAGCTCTTCCAACTCATCCGAGCCACTGGCAGCAAGAAGTCTGGTGTGAGTGAAACAATCTACGAGGATGACGGGATGCCAATCGCAAACATCTCTCGACGTCTTCGACGATGGGCAGAATTTTTCGAAGGGCAGTTCAACTGGCCTGCTGCTCCGGCAACATCAACCAGTTTATCCTGCACCCCATGACTGGTGACGACTGATCCACCAAACGAGGCGGAAGTCCGCAAGGAACTCCAACTCTTGAAACACTACAAATCACCGGGCCCAGATGACTTACCTCCGGCTCTTTTTAAAGATGGTGGTGACTTTCTGGTTAAGGAACTGACTGTGTTGTTTGGAAAGGTTTGGGAGCAAGAAAGTGTTCCAACCTCATGGAATGAGTCGATAGTCGTCCCTATCTTTAAAAAGGGTTCACGTTGTTCCTGTAACAACTATCGGGGGATAAGTCTACTTTCGATTGCGTCCAAACTATTGGCTTCTATCATTCTTCGTAGGTTGTTTAAAACCCGAGAACGATTGACTCGCGAGGAGCAGGCTGGTTTCCGTTCTGATCGAGGATGCATTGATCACATCTTCACCCTCCGCCAAATGTTAGAACACCGTCATACTTATCGCAGGCCAACAATCGTAGTGTTTCTTGATATCAGGGCGGCCTTCGATTCGTTGGACAGGACTGTTCTCTGGGATTGTTTATTGAAGAAGGGTGTGCCTGAGAAGTTCATTAACATCTTAAAGGCCCTGTATACGAACACCTCAGGCAGAGTGAGGGCATACAACCACCTTTCTCAATTGTTTCATTCGAGCAGCGGGGTTAGGCAAGGTTGCCCGATCTCACCATTCCTCTTCAACTTTGCCATCGACGACATCCTGGAAACAGCTCTGATGGATGTAAGTAATGGCGGTGTGGATCTGCTGCCTGGAGAACGACTTCTCGACCTCGAGTATGCGGATGATATTGTCTAACTGTGTGATAATGCCCAAGGCATGCAATCCGCACCCAATCAGTTGGCAATTAGTGTCCGCAGGTACGGCATGTGCTTTGCACCCTTCAAGTGCAAGGTACTCCTACAAGATTGGCAGGATTCTCATCCTGTACTCACCCTAGATGGTGAGCAGATTGAAGTAGTTGAGAAGTTCGTGTATCTAGGTAGCTATATAAGTGCTGGTGGTGGCGTGAGTGATGAAACTGATGCACGTATAATGAAAGCCAGAGCGGCTTATGCCAATCTGGGCCATCTTTGGCGCCTTCGTGATGTTGGTCTGGCTGTAAAAGGTCGGATCTACAACGCGTCGGTGAGAGCAGTTTCGCTCTATGCTTGTGAAACCTGACCTATCCGAGTTGAGGATGTTAGACGTCTCTCTGTGTTCGATCATCGTTATCTCCGAAGGATTGCTGACATCCAGTGGCAACACCATGTTAGTAATGCAGAGGTTCGGCATCGTGTGTTCGGGCGCAGAGACGATAATTCAATTGGTGTCACCATCTTGAAACACCGACTTCGGTGGCTTGGACATGTTTTACGAATGTCGTCCCAGAGACTTCCACGTCGTGCATTATTTGCCAACTCTGGGAGTGGTTGGAAAAAGCGGAGAGGAGGTCAGTGTATGACATGGTGTCGTGGCATGAAAGAGAGCTGCAAAGGGCTAGCTTCTGTTGGTCCTTCACGACTCCCTGGCTGGGGTCCGAGAGATGGTGCAACACAGTGGCTAGAGACGTTATCAGATATGGCTCAGAATAGAAGCCAGTGGCGTTCCTGCTGTAACCTTCTTTTACTTTCTTCATAAAGAGTGGCTATAACTTTCTTAACTGAGAGAGCTCTTCTGGTTGTACATTTCAGTTCCCCATCATTACTCTTTTCCTTTTCTTTATTTCCTTCTTTTATATATACACATCTTTCTTCTCCTCCCATTCTCATTATTTTGTGTGGCGCATATGTATCCGGTGCCCTTTGTACTAATATATATGTGATTAAATAACTAAATAAAACAATTTATTACATATACAGAATGTCTACACTACTAAATAATATTAAATCATTGAAATGTACACTATAGCAAATTGCCTTTAAAAGGAAAATAAATAATAAGACAATAGATCAGAGATGGTTTACGTTTCTGAAAGTGATAAAAGGCATAAAAAACAGAAGTAAAGATTATCAAATGACAATTCAGTGTTTGTATCAAAATTATGATAAAGAAGAATTTATTGTACAACCATTTTTCACTCAATCAGACACTCTTCACTAAACTAAATTTACTGCTATACTCTTAAATGAGGTTCCAAGACGATATCAGCATGAATGATGTCCTTTTGGTAATTCGTACTTATTTGAACACTATGAAATAAACATTACAGTCAAACAGTAGTATAGGAGAACTTGCTTTTCATTGATTTAGTTTTCAAACATTATGATAAAACTATGTATTGAGAAACTAATTAACTCCTCAGCATCATATGAAAAACTAGTGATTAAGGTGATTATTTTGAACATCACACAGTTTTCTTGATTCACTTGTTAAGTCATTGAAATCGCACAGCATTTCATGTGATAATTTCTCATGTCAACTCTTGAAAAAGTAGATGTATCCAAAAAGACAAATAATGGTAAGTGAAATTTAAAAAAGTGCTTCAAAAAAACCGAATAAATATTCATGACTCACAGTGTTCGTGTAACAATATTGGTTAGTGCACCACCTTCTAAATATTCCATAGCCACCCATAATTCATTACCAATTAAATAGGATCCAAACATTTCAACAATATTTGGATGAGGGTAACTTTGCATAATAATTACCTTTTAGAATAAAAATAGTAGTATCCAGATATTTGCAAAGATCGTTGAAAATATAATTTATGTTATACATTGACCAAACTTCAACCTCTATTAAAAACCATGAAGAACTGGATTATTAGAACAGTGAGTAAGTATTTGATGGATGAAAACAACTGCCATGTCAAACATTATGAACTGATTGTTGTTGGACTATAGGAGAGTCGTATACTATGACAATAGACCAATTCATTGTTTCTAGGTTACGTTTAGATAATTAGTCCATTGTTTAAACTACATTAAAATCATGTTTTTTATCGTCGGAATAATGTCTTTTTAGTTTTATCAGGATATTTATCTCAATAACATTTACATGTACATGGTTGTTTCAACATAAAATATTTTTACTGAATGTATTAGCAGTAGAGTCGTATTTTATATTTTATTCAAATAATTCATGTCAATAATTATTCACCTATAATCTCCTATTAACTCCGTCTTTAGCTCTTCTAGGTCTACTGCCGAACCCAAGACCGGAGTAAAAGAGGGGGTTGAACATCCGGCTAACAACCGCATCCGACAGAAACGCTAAACAGAATAAACTATTATACCATTTAAACTCTGCCTTCCCAGTTGAAGAAAGAATTATGACGCCTCAGGTTGAAAGCCGAGACTTTTCAGGAGTAACGAGGTCGATGTCCCTTCTAACAACCAGAGCAACAATCAATATAGGTACATGGAATGTCCGGACAATGTGGGAAATCTAAACGTCAGAGTCGGGATGGACAACACTGGATATGAAGATACCATGGGACGACATGGATAGACTGGGGGAAAGGAACAGAAATGGTGGGAGATTCGCAAATTTATGTGCATTCAACAAATTGGTTACAGGCTGTACAATATTTTCACACAGATGCATACACAATTTACATGGGTTTCGCTAGACCACATTATAGAGAACCAGATAGACCATATTTGCATTAATAAAGAATCACAAGGCGATGGAAAACATGAGAACAAAAAGAGGAGCTGACGTAGCTTCAGAACACAACCAACTGGTGGTTGCCAAAATAAAACTGAAGGCACAGAAGAATTGGACAACTAGAAAACTAGCATTACAAGTGTTCAGTACAGCCTTTCTTCGAGATAATGACAAACTCAAACAATTCAAGATGACTGTCAACAACAATTTCCAAGCTCCACAACATCTACTCAAAGAAGAAGTGGAAACTACTTTGGACGGCGATTGGAAAGAGATCAAGAAAGTATTAACTTCAACAAAGCAGTAGATGCTGGGTCACAACTAGTATCCTCTTAGGAAATGGATCTGCATCGAAACCGTGGACAAGATTCAAGAAATGGAGGACAAGAAGACAGCAATTAAAAACAGATGAACAAGAACAGAGAAAGTCCAGACACAAGCTGAATACACAGAAACAAACGAGCAAATGAAAAAGTGCATTAGAGCCGGCAAGCAGAAATACGTGAAAGACCCAGCGACGACAGTTGAAAAAGCTGCAACAGAAGGAAATATGAAACAACTATATGACACAACGAAGAAACTGGAAGGAAAATATAGCATACCAGGTAGCAGTCGAAGACAAAGTAGGCAAACCAACCACTAAGGTTCTAATGTGAGTGTTTCTTCACAAATTGGTGAATATTAGAACGATCGTCCAGTATGTGTAAATTATTTCTTCTTCACTCAATCAGATTCTATTTTCTTAGGTTTCACAGTCTTCAAGATTACTGATGAAAAATGTGCAGTTTTAAAACAAATTAAAAAGTATAAAAAAAGATCGGTTCAGTATTCAAATAGGTGTCATTGTATTGAATATTCAAAAATATTAGATGGATTATGAACATTTTTTATCGATCTATAACGTGACATGTGTTACCAAAATCAGACTAATCCTCCAAAAGTAACAGGTTTTATTCCATTATACGTTAGACATCTCAAAACAATTTGCAAGTCAATGATAACAATAAGCGAGAGAACAACATAGCTAATTGTCATGATGAAAATCGGCATTTAGAGGATTGGTAAAAAAGTCACTATAGGTATGATAAAGCAAAGTGATATGAGAACATGTTTTGATAAATACATTGTTTGCATAACAAAACTCCAGAGTAGTTCTTATATTTCTTGAAAAAAATCATTTATCAACCGATACACTTTAATGAGATTTCAACGATCAAGTGAATTAGTTTACCGTTAAAAGTAAACTCTGAGGTATATGTTCACAAAATGACTGTAATAGCAGTCATAAACATTAATGGAAAAATTCAAACAAACAATACAAAATGAATTTAAGCTTCACCCCATCGCACTAACTAGTGGCTATCTGAACTCAGTAACGAAGTTGATAAGGCGATGGAGTTTGAAGCGAATGGTACTGGATTCGAGTTTCGGAGTGAACATCAACTCTGCGACGCAGGTATATCCAGCTGACGAGTCTCAAATAGAACGAAACACGCATCCTGGATTTTACTATTAGCTACCATCCACCTTTGCTAATAATGGTCAATAAGATCAAATAAGTTTTATTTTATTTCTTTCATTACCGTCAATTCCCTTTCTCTTACATATATATACTTAAATTAATTATAAGTAATTTGAAAACAATTCTTTTTCATTAAAATAAATTAACTTTACTCATATCCTTCCATAAAAAGTTAACTCATGTTTAGGTGTATTTGTGAGGTATTATCAGTTGCTTAGTTATTAAAAATTTAATAATTGAATGTATACACGAATAGAAAACTATCATTAAAGTAATTTATATAAATAGTTCAAGTATCCCATTAAGTCTAAATTAATTAAAATGAAATGTAATTACTTAAAGTATTTAAGAGTAATAAAATACAAAAGTTAAAAAAAATAACGTTAAACTTATTCGTTTTTTTCTGATTAGAAATTGTTTAGAATTAGTCCAATAAACTTAACTATATCTATAGAGATTGCCTATTTTATATGGTAGATTGAATTCTCATAATCATTTCATGATAGAATTATCTGTCTACACTGCTAGGTATTGCATCCACTCTGTCATAGTTACAGGGAAATTATCAGAAAATTTTGAACATACTGTTGATAAGGATTGGTTAGTAAGGTGTATCTGGAATCTTGATGCAATATGATGGTTTCTACTCAACTAAGACTACGAGACCAAATAGTACGGTAATAGAGGTATTGCTATCCAGCTATTAAGTTGTTTACATGACAAGTATGACTGTTATTACGAGAATTCGACATCAAATTTTTATATACTAGAAACGTGTTATTATGTATTTCAGAATGTTTCTTCTATAGTTTTCATGTTTATTAATATAAATATTCATTTATCTTACAATTTAATTCAATCTTCCCTACTTGTTACCGTTTATTCTACTAATTTTGATGAATATAAATTATCTACACTAATTGTAAATAACTATTACCATTGATAAGCAGCTAAAAAGAAACCATAGAATAAATTAATTCGTCATAGTCTGTCAGGTGTTGTTTTACTATTGCCTTACATCAAAATATTAATATTGACTCACTATGCAACAGACTACTTAAATAAACTGCCGACAAGTAGAACCCGATAATATATTACTAAGATGAATGAAACCTTTGAGACAAAGACACTAATTATGAAATCTGTGTAGCTGAAAGTTTGTTATATTTTCATTATGTATTATCTGATTACTCTCAAGTAGTTTATAGAAGTTTGTACACAATTGATACAGATCATTATAAAAAATCAACTATTTCATAGACATTGAGAAGTTGGAAGGTATTCTTAAATATTGTAATGATAAAAACTAATTGACGTTAATTGAATTATTTAACAATTAGTTAAGTCGACTTCTTAAAATTTGGAATATATAAATTCTAACAAGTATATGTTTCACAGTAACTCATAAAATAGAAACTGATTGTGTAATCTCATTCAAACAATTTCAGGTAAATATTTTTTTGTTTGTTGGCCTTCATATTCTGATAAAAGAATAAATCAGTTAATTACAATCTAGATCATTAACAGAATACTAGGGATATGGAATAGACTATTTACTATGAGAAACAAAGTGACAGATCTTTATAGATTTAGCATGATATCTCGAACTTCATTGACCACGGTATTACATGATGTTACTTTAAAAAGTAAGTAATGTATTGAAATCGACACTTAATATTAATAAGTCTGAACCCAGTTATTATCAGTTTTCGTTTTCATAGTAAACAGACTTTATTTGTTGAACGTACAAGATCGGAGTAGTTTGGTATTGACAGTACTGAATTTAAACCTATCATACAGGATAATTCAAGAGAGTTGATTTTAAAGAATTTTGTAATACAAAAGGAACTGAGTAATGAAGTTACAATTGTGTATATGATACTTCATTTAGACTCCCGTGTATCTTACTTTTCTATGCAGTCTAAAGAATCTTGAAGTGAAACAAGCTAGAGTTTTGCTTGGTTTTATTACCACCTCCAAAAAATAAAGGAAACTTATGTGATACTGCTTTGTCATCAAAACATGGCCGCTGTTTAAGAACAATTAATTAATACTCTTGAAAATAATTTTTCAGTGAATTGATTTTGTTCTTATCCACTCAGAAACATTCATCCAACTTCAATTGGAATTATTCTATTCGGTTAGTAAAAGTGTCACTAGAAAACGCCAATAGAATTCCGTTAAGTCTAGTATGAAAAAATATTTAACACGAATGTTACAAAACTACTCACTATCAAAAGTAGTAAAGCTGTAAACACCAGACTGTTATTATAACATGTAAATAAACACAACAATTTTTAAGTCAAAAAAGAATTGTAAGCAGAGATGGATAGTGGCTAGCAGTGGAATCCAGGACGCGCGTTTCATCCTATTTAGGACTCGTCAGCTGGATGTACCTGCATCTCAGAGTTGATGTTCACTCTGGAACTCGAACCCAGTACCCTCGCTTCAAACGCCATTGCGTTATCCACTCGGCCACTGAGTCCTGGTAGAGACTGACCAGTTGCAGTCCTAAAAAATCGATGGGAAGATTCAAACAAACAATACTGAATGAATAAAAAAGAATTATTCATAAAATATTTTGATAACAATTAACATAACGCCAAGGTTTATAAAGACTTACTTCATTAAAAAGTAATTCACGCCTTTGTTGTTTAAATATATTCATTTTCTTCACAGCAACATACTGTTTAGTAGGTGAATGACGCATTAAATAAACAACACCAGTACTCCCTTTACCAATTCGACATATTTCATGTAAATCAGCTCTTGGATCACCTGGTGTTACAATTTTCGCCAGTTCATTACGAAACTACATGGTTAAAAAAGAAATCATGTGATCAATAAATTATTTTAATTTGTATAGATTAATTTTATAGAAATGATAATATTGTCATTGACAGTGATTGTAATAATCATACGTCTAAGTAGACAGCTATTATAAATAATACATTTGGAAAGATTTGTTCATGTATTACTCTGTTACAACATATCAAGATATGTTAAGATATTAAACTCTTTTAAATGTAGAATATTATCAGTGAATAGTATACTAGATCGTCTACTTTTTAATAAAATCAATAAATTCAGATATTAAGAACAATGAACTCAATCGATGGTGCGTGGCAATCCGTTGATTCGTTTTATCAAAACATCTTGTATTTATGTAATTCATTATCAACATTTTGATATTTCAGACTCCAGAAACCCAGGGAGTAAACAGTTGTAACTATAAAAATGAGAAAATATTATAAAATTACGAATCGGAATTGTATAGCTCGAAAACCTAAATGTATGTCATATGGCATTGACTCAGCTTATTCATAAAATTTCGTTTTGATGGTAAGAAATCTTGAAAAACTTTCACACATCGTAAAAAACATATTTTTCTCAATGGACTTAAAAAAAATTAACTAACCTACAAGTGATATTTCAGACTTTGATTAAAACTAGAGAATACTGTCTGATGTGGAAACGGCTATTACCATCACATATAAATACCAATAAATGTTATTCATCCGTCAGTCAGTAAAACACACTGTGGAACCTACAACATAGGTATATCGTTCCAAGTTGCCACACCGTTTTAGTAAAGCGAGTTGAAATTATTAGGTCAGTGATCGCAGTATTAATGATAGTAAAGGTCTCAATGGTTTCAATAGAAACAATTCGGAATTCAATATATAATTCGAGCAGAATGAATAAATTAGTAAAATAATGAAAAAAGAAAATTGTTAAGGATTTAGGACCTACGTATTGAGATAATGAGTAATTGAATCTACTCTGTTGATAATAATTTTGATTCACATTATCCAAAGTCGCAAATAAGTCATACAAATTTACTTATATTACTGGATATACTAGCTTCTATTATGATCATTTCATTTCCTCTTGTTCTCTTATCAAAATTGCAATTCGATTCTACAGTCAACATAAACTCATTACTATGAATATGTCAATGTAGAGGAATTTATCAGCTTAAATATGCACTATTCTTATTGCTAATACTATACTACTTAATAAATGTCATTAACTATTATTACTGCTTTCTTGATTTCTGAAATGTAATAAATTAAAGTAATATGTTATTTAGAAAAAAGCGTTTCTTGTTAATTAAAGAAACTAACTGGTAGAATTGTTGAAAATTGTAAATTACAAAGTAAATGTTTTTCCTTACCCTGGAATTCTACCATAATGTATATTTAAAATTCAACCTGATAATGAAATCGGAAATTCCAGGTTTTGAATTAATCGCAAAGTATTGACAAATTACTGAGCTGAAACTTATTAGGAACACACATCTTTCAACTTTTATAATTATAAAAATATACCCCAATCTACAGTTATTTGTTTCTAACAGATTTTCGATCGTAATTCCTTATTAGTTCATCTTTTTCAAGCAAAAAACAAAATAAAGTATTCAGGATAGATTGATTAAATACAAACAATGAAGTGGTTTTGACAAACCTCTTAACCATTAATAACTCTTAAATGAACATTTCAGAAAACCCTTTTCACCCACTTTTCTTTTTTTCACAAATATAATTCATAAATAACTAGTTGATGTGTTAAACTCATTTCAAATTTTTTAAGAAAAATTAAAAAAAACTGATTTTAAGCTCATTGAATTGGATGAAAATTTTTTTTAAAAAAAATTGTTTTAATCTACAATCGGACTACAGTTTACTATTTTTATTATGATTAGGCATGTTGAAAAACAGTTTAATTACGCTGTAGAACATTAGACATGAAATTATATATATTCTGTTCGAAGGAAATTAATTTTTAATGTGTACAGTAAATATCTTTTGTTTTAATTCATTTTTGAATTGTTTACTTGAATCTTCCTATTGATATTTAAGATTTCAATCAATCAGTATCTTAGTGGTTTATGTGCATCCTAGACGAATCGCCTTGATATTGTCTGAACTCACAAATATTATAAGCAGAGATGGACGATGGCTATCAGTAAAATCTTGGATGCGTGTTTCGTCCTGTTTGAGACTTATCAGCTGGATGTACATGCACAGGATGCATATACGGCAATAAATGACTGATCAACTACTGCACCATTGGTTTGGAATAAGGGTTTTCTAACTTCTCTAGGTGGACGCGCCGTGTCCCGCAACCCAGTTGAGGCGCTTGATGTTCGCTTTTTGCCCTCTCAAGTTTGTAAACAATACCCTCTCCACGAGAAGGCAGTAAGTAGGACTTCTATTTGCGTAGCCATGTGAGGGCATTTCGAGAGGGAGAGCGGAGCCTCCCCACTCTCGGCCGTACCAGAGCATTTTGGGGAGGGGCTTGATACATTGAACAAAAATAGCGCTTTAATCTTTACTGTGTAGGTAATAATTACACTTCACTCATTCAGGGTTGTTTGAATATCATGGATACAAGTGCAATCTTCGTGATTGTGTTATAGTAGCCACTTTTACACTCAGACAATTGGTCATTAACCAATAAATAACTGGTAATTGTAGTATAGTGTATGCTGCTAATGTTGATAAATATAAGAAGTATATAGCACAAATCGGAATTGAGTTATTATTTGATGTATAAATGTCGAATTCAATTAGACAATATATCTATTCAGTTAGCGGATGACTTAGCATTCTGTAATGTACTCATTACGAATTAGTTCTGTGTGTAATTTATCAGTTTGGATAATTCAGTAACTCAAGAATGTTAACAAACCATTTTTTCTTATTCAATCATTATTAAATTCAAAATTACGTTAACGATTTGCGATTCAGATGGAGTAGCCTAGAGGTTTTGCCTTCTTTGAGTCAATTAGTTCAATTGTAAAGCTTTCATTACAGTTCTGATCAATATCATCAGCGTGTGCTTCATTAAAATGAACTGACAGCTTCTTCAATCGGCGTGAATTTCAATTTAGTTGAAATAATAAGCTGATCTAGGTTAAGCTACCAATGAAAACCTGAGAGCGCTAGACGCCTGTTTCTTCCTAATATAGGACACTTAGGCAATGCGTATCCACAAGCTCCGAACATAGAAATCGAATCCAGTACTTACAGGTTTTCAAAGGTTGTCTAAATTAGATCGGTTCATAGTTTCAATCAAATCCAACTATCTCCACAAGCCCATACTAAATTTTATTTAGTTATTGTTCATAAATATGTTTTCATTGCTTGTACATTTATCTTAATTATCTTTTTCAGTGGCCTGATTTCAGACCTTGCAATTCTTTATCATTCCTCTTACTACCTAGTAAACTAAGTCGAATTCAAAATAGGCTAAACTATATTATCAAAACCAAAGATAAATATACTGTGCTCATAAAATAAATTACTAATTACTTATCAAAATCGTTATGCTTGTGAGTAGATTGTAACATCAATAACTCAACTTGATTCATTTTTATTCTGATTCCTTTTATTTTGGTTGTTGATTATGCTGACACAACTATGACAAGGGAACACATCAATTACATACATTAGAAATCATCATAGTATTTATAAGGTGTGCATAAAAATGTATATTTTTATCAATGTATTCTTGATTTGTGACAAGAATTAACCTGAATCGAAGACATTTCGGTTATATTTTCTCTTGAATAAAACAGAAAATAAAACTGATATAGATTTTCTATCATGATCATTCACATATCATTGATTACAAAGAGAAAGAGAATAACCCTTTATCATACTACATATCTATTTATTAAAACAATTTTGTGAATATTATTATGAAATTTCAGAAATCTTTATTTTTAAAACCATTGAATATCAATAACAATAAAATTATCTTTCTGCTTTATTTCAAGAATTCTGAATAATAGAGGTTCATGGAGAGAGCACGATGCACTAGACATAAATGCCTGTTACACATTGAATAAACAAATATATAAAATAGAGACTAACGAACTCTCGTGAAATAAGTGCACGGTTTCCTGAAATGTCTTGAGTTTAATTCCTGGATGCGGGTTCATGGATGAGTACTGCTCAGAAGTCTCATACTAAAGATTTTCGATCCAACTCTTGCTAAGATCAGTACGGGATTTAAAACCATAAAAGTTATTTTTCTATCACAATTTAAAGTCGATTAGAGCTGTATTTAAGGAGTTATATTTTCACTAAAGTATACTTCTTGGTCGTTAGATGTCAGTTAATAACTTTTGGTATTGCAGCAGCTTTGTAAATAACATACTAGGGAAGGAAAAGATGGTATTTATCGTCAATTTGTAAGGTATTACTAAAACCTGTGCTTAATATCGTATGACTTATTCTTACAGTATAGTTTTACAATAGTAATGATTCACAAAAATGAGATCTAAGTTGTACCATAGATCGACTTCTTTAAAATATCTCTATCTGTCATAATGATAATTCACTGCTAATTGAAGATTTCATTCGACGTTTAGAAACAATTGGTTTAGTAAATGTCCAAATACTGAATAGATGGAATTTTGAGGGCGCATGAAAATTTCTAAATGTCAAACATTATATCTAAACTATCTAGCTTAGGGAACATACTACCAATAGAATTATCGTAATAAGCTGGGAATCGTATCCATTATTGAGAATTATAATTACATGTTTGATGAATTTGAGAAATGGAGAACATAAGTGCCCAAGTATACCATTATATCCGTAAATTAGACTGATATAGTAGACTATGATTTTGAAACCTACGAACCACATATTAGAAACTGTTGTGCCATCAGGTCAGTACATTTCAACTGAAAGTTTTCATGCAGAACACGTATTAGCATACATTTACTAGTTTAACTATTTTTATTTAGAATATCAATAGTAATATTCATCAGAAAACGCAGACATCCTTAATATCAAGTGGTTATCGTCAAATGACAAGAAGCTATAGACCAATGCTGTATATTGTTTGGTACCTGCCAGTAGCACATTTCTAGAACCTTTAGAGAATTAACACCTTTCATGCGGTTTGAACTATAGTCTCCTAATCAGGAAAGTTACTATTGATCTATGCGTATAACGGCTGATGTCTTGTGTGTGTGAGAGAGATATTACAAATCACTGATCACTGATTGACAAACCTTAACTGTTATGAAATCTAGGGTCAGGTTTTTATCTAGATCGTCTCCAGTTAACTTACACCATGAAATAGTGCACTTTATGTTGCGATAGTTAAACTAGCGATCTCACTAGAACTTAATCTTCAGAATGCAATCATTACTATTGACTTGATAAGCTCGATATTGGTTACTAATATACGATCGATGAGTTTTACTTACTTTAAACACCTATCCCACTTGTTGCAATTACTTTTTAGTTATAAACAAGCTTATGTTGCAGTGAACGGACACTTAGGTGGGAAGGACAAATTTTATGTTTAATGCAAGACTATGGAATGTTTTCGTAACGTATGGAAACCATACATTCAACACATCATTCGCACATCTTCCATCAGTTGCCTGTTACAAACTTCATCGTTCCGTCATCCCTGATGTTATTAAAATTGCTCTCTACTGCCTTCTGCCATTTCTTCATTTCAATCTTTTCAATCCTCTACTTCTAAGCATTCCAATTCTGACTGCTGTTACATACGACTTATATCTGTCAACATATGTGGCATATATCACACTTTCAGTAATAATAATATGATATTATACACCAATAATTTAGCTCACCTCTTCAGCGTTTAATAAGCAAAATGAATTTTCATTATATACAGTATCAATCATTTTATTCGATTGAAATGGATCGATAAAATGTTGATTTGCGGCTGGATGTACAGGAAAATTCGATCGATTCAATGGATATTGTTTGGTTGGTGATAGAGTATTATTTCTCAATCGATGAATATCTAATTTTGTATAAAGTGCTTTTGTATCAAATCCATTATCATTACTAAAATTATGATCGTTACTAATAGCGATAATATTATTATGATTAGTCTTAGTGATAATCTCATTATTATTAGTTCCCTGCTTAAATGCTAATGGTGGAATTTGTGAATGTTTTGTAAGTAGTGTACTCGTAAAACAATAGTTATCATGTTCATTGTTAACTCTGTTGACAGTTAACTGTTGTGGATGAAATGTTAAAGCATTACCGGAGCTATTGGATCGTCGTAAAGCTTTTCTGTTTGTACCAGGTAATATATCTATATATCCATAATCATTATTCAATAAATTATCTACATTTTCATTTCTATCATGTTTAATATGATGAATAGAACTATTATTATTTGTAGTATTGTTATTTTCATAATACAATTGAATAGGATATTGTGATCTGGATTGATGTTCATTTAATCTCTCTCTATTGTATGTATTAGATAATTGAATATCTGTAGTTGACTTTTTCATAGTTACATTTGAAATTGGATATTTCATTTTAGATGATATTCCTGATACATTGATATTTTGTGATGTACTATCCATTTGATTTGAGAGAGTAAGAAATTTTTGACTGTTCATCTAAATTCCATTGATTATCCAAAAATAACAAATTATTAAGTATACAAAATATAATATTTTTCGAAATGAATAAAGTATTATTATTATTTCAATTTACTCATGCTTTCAACTATGAAACATACTAAATCACCACAAAACTTCTTCTGATAATTAATATGATCATATGCTCACTAGTGACTGACTGAGAAGTACATCCAGGAGCTCTAGTGAGAAGCAGTGGCCAGTGGAGTGCAAACCACGTCTGTCATGAGATAGGAACTCATTGAAGACAATTGGTGAATGATTGCTCAACTTCGTGGATCAGTTGAAGTCAGACATTAACACCATTGGATGCCAGCTCAGTGGTCTATCGGTTAAGGGCTCTGGCTTGAGACTGGTAGGTCCTGGGTTCGAATCTCGCGGGTGCGGGTTTATGGATGCGCACTGCTGAGGAGTCCCATGATAGGACGAAACGGCTGTCCAGTGTTTCCATGTTTTCCATCATGGTCTAGCTTCAATTGACTCATGCTTTCAACTATGAAATATATTACAGAAAACTCTACAAGCAATGATACTTCAAAACTTCACGAAATGTGATATACAAGAAGTGGCTTTTAATAATTATTTTACTTTGTAGGTATTCTTTACAAATTGATCTCACTCAACGTTCTGTAGTCTTCGAGAATACGAGTGGGGACAATTGAATGTATTTGAACTCAAGATTACATAATCTCTTTCTTAAAATCTAAGAATCATACAGTTAATACTTAATTTACAAAGTGTAAATCGATCGTCTCCGAATTACATGTTCCTTCATTCCCATACCAATTGTTTTCTGTTCCCATTCTTTCCTTCTTGATCTTCTGCTGCCAGACATTTTATTCGTGACTAACGTTATATACTACTTATGTCAATATAAGTAGCACACCACAATGCACTAAAAATCAAGGATCAATAGTGAGCTGTTACGTCCAGGTACGAATTCCTCAATATTATTTACGCATAAGTCCTCTAAGGGCCGAACCCAGTACTCACAAGTCTGAGGAAGAGTCATTAGGATGATTTTCATCAGTACATAGCTCCAACTGTCTTCTTTTAAAGAGTTAAACAATAGTTTTCACTTGGACTTCAAATAACATCGGTCTGTAATAAATAACATTTGACAAAGATCCTTTAATTACACCAGGAAGTCCCCTAACATATAAAATATAGATTTAGGTTTATGACTTCTGGGAAATAAAGTAGAATAAAGCTTGCTTTAGCCTGGAAGCATTTCCTATAACCTCTGAAATTAAAAAAACCCAAATTATTTATATAAAAATGATATAACATGAACTCCTCCTCGAAAGATAACAGGCGTAAGTAAGTAAATAAGTCTACGTAGTTCGGACTTACTTTTAACTTTTTCATTTCATTTAGATTTCTAGAAGTATTATAATATCCTGATTGTTTATCCTCGAAATTAATATTTTCATTTGAATTAATTGTTTGATTTATAGAAATGTCATAGACTGAATTTAAGTTATCAGTTGAATTAACTCCAGTAGAATTAAGATTATGACTGCTAAAGCCAGATGATGTATTGGAAGTTGTATCGTTACGTAGTTTATTACTATGTATTTTATCAGATGTGGAACTTTTCATTGATTTCATATCGAAATTTCGTTTATCATTACTATCCAATGCTTTGTGTTTTCTTAAGCGACAATGTTTACGACGAGCGCCATAATGTGAAACAGTTTGGTCGGAATGATTACGATTGGTATCATTGATTAAACTTATATCTTGACCGTGTGAATGAGAATTACTGATAGACGAAGAATGATCAATTTGATTCACTTTCCTTTGTGGAGATATTTGATTTGAAACTTTATGATTAATTGGACTGTACAATGGTGAAGTATGTTCATTCGAACTGATAAGTGATAATTTTGACTGATTAGTAATCGGTTGAGAAGCATCCGGTTGGTAATACTTTGCTCGTACACTCTAAAATGTTAGTAAATATATTTAGAGTTAGGAAATCAAGGATACCTTTTATAATTATTATGAAACGTTCATTTCAATATTGTTACATGACTGTTAAATGTAATTTCTTTCACTGGTGTAAATAAATTATTTAACTATTGTTTAATGGTTACGGCGTTCGAATTTCAGCCTTTAAGTAACATGATTGAAGCCCAGTCCACCTACAGTGGTTTCCGCTATCACGCAGTACCGTAGCCACTCACACTTAGAGCATAGTTAGAAGCCAAACATATGAATGTATAACTGGCAAATGAGTTAATAAGAAAGAATTTAGATTATTAATTCAGTTTCAATATATGATAAAAGATTGTATACACACGGTTATAACACTCGGTTTCCTCATCTACACGTATGGGACGTTAATTTGCTTTAGACGAATATCTACACTAGATACCCTCCCTGTATCTATTCTACAGGACTTTAACACAACTCAGATCAAGAACACATGGATAGTTGTACTAAAACGTAAGTATATTTTCACGCCAAAAACCGACAATAATCACAATGATATTTAGGACAGGAGAATATATAACTCATCTAACACCTGTCAGACTATCTACTAGTCTGACTAAGCAAACGACCTATGATTATCGTCTATGCACACATATCACAAATACAATTATATTCTGAAACAATAATTTTTTTGATGATAAAAGGAAAAAAAATAGGATTGCTTTTAAAACTTATTTTATGTACTTCATCTATGTTTTACTACCATTATTTCTGTTCTTCATATTTTCACTATTCGTCATATAATTGAACATGATCAATAATATTGTTAAAAAGGTTTTCAACGGATACATCATACTTTGATCTTTGATTGCACTGTGAAAAACATATTTAAGTATTTTAGAGCCCCTTGCAATAAAACTTGTTTGTCAGCAAACAGCTACGGGATGAATTCTCTGAACGCCAGTGGAAAGCCATGACTAAATATGGTCCGAAAGAAAAATTCGAAAGTCCAGTCTTGGAAGAGTTATCAGACCACATTCATGGAATAAAATAACTCCTCGGTGATTCATAGTTTTTAATGGCTGATCAGGTAAAATCATGTTATGATAAAAACTGTCTTTAAGTTGAACAATCTCCACAAACCTTCGGTCATCAAAAAATAGAGTTTTGAATATATCAATATGTTCAGCAATTCGTTGGGCGAAATATCAGAACCATACTTGGTTCTAAATTGCTGCCTGTGTCCATCTTATCCCATAAAACGCGCGTAGTTTAATTTGTCTTACCAATTTAAAAGAAAGTCATGGAGACTGCACGCTGAAAAGACTTATCTTATTATCATCAACCAAAATCAAACGGTTCTGATACAACACTTCTAGTGGCCCCGGTATCTGACTCCAGTTGGATTGTGCACTGATTGTCTTCGAAATATACATGTTGGTTATCTTCGTATATAATTGTCGACTTCACTCGCGTTAGTGAATAACGAGATTAAGTAAGTCAGTTACGAGAATGAAGTTTGATTACGTATATTTCATACGATCATTGATTTGAACAGATAATCAAGGAGAAGGAGCGAAGAAAACGAAGAGGACAGAAAAGAGCGAAACTAAATGACGCGCATTGGAGAAGGCGAGTGAGTCATTTAACCATTTAGGGCTTTTTATTCTCCTCTACATTTTGACTTAATATTTTTCATTACTTTTGAACTTGATTTTTCGAATATAATATTTAATACTACTGACTTCATTACATTACTCAACCAATTCTCCCACACTGTTGATGTCAACTGCGATAATTGGCATTTGCATAGAGTAGCAGGTTTTCTATAATTACCTAAATGAATTACCGAATAACTATATAAGAGTAAGAGAATCCTATCAATCAATTTCCAATTTTTCTTACTTTATTAGATACTTTTGGATTGCAGTATATCGTCTTCTAATTAATTTCCTATAAAAATTGACTATCATTTTCCAATTGTTCAAATAATTACTAACAAGCAAATATTTTGAAAATAAAAAACAATCATTACTCAACAACTAACTTTATAAATTTTCGGTGGTAATTGTGGTGTATTCATTAGAATTGGATGTGCAGAAGCAGATCTAGTAAATATATCCTCCCTAGTTTCCATGTCTAGTTTTTCATTTTTTCCTAAAAGTTTTGTTTTTGATCGAGATTTATGAACTTCAATATTTAATCTATTTGAAGCATAATCATGATAACTGATATTATTGGTCATTGGCATTTGATCAAGTTCATGTTGTGGTTTCTTATGAATTGGATTAAAAATCCATTGATGATCATTTTCATTACTTTTATTATTTCTATGAATTTTAGTATGAGAATGTTTTGTTCTTACAGGTATTTGTGAATTAATTCGTTCATGTGATGTACTCTGTGAAACAAGGAAAGTATATATATATATATTGGGTTAAGGAGAACAAACAATTAACAAAATTAAAATATATAACCTTTAAAGATCAGTATTCAAAGAGAGAAAGTTACGTAATACCTAGAATCAAATGTCATTGAATTATATGATCAAGGTTATTGAAACATTTTCACTTTTTTATGAAACTATATACTTAGCAGAATTTTTCCTAAATGATGAATTATTGCATTCTAAATGTTCAGTATAATGCTGGTGTGCGGCCTATGGTCCTCCACGAGGGGTAACAGGCGTAAGTAAGTAAATGTTTAGTATGTATTTGGGATAATTTCAAATTCAGTTTTATTATTACTTTCATTTGAGTCTTTAAAGTTTTCCAAGATTATCGATGACTAATTGAGTCATCAGTATTAATTGATTTATCACTTGTGAACTTATTCCCAAATATTTACATTTATGTAAATTAAACTACAATTATGTACATCGGAAACAAAACTGAAATAAAACCAATGATATTAGAAAAAGTCAATATTCTCGAACATATACACCAATGTGACAAAATTCTCATTGAGTAACTTGTCGAAACTTTTAGTTATAAGAGCTTCTCAAATTTATCAGTTCAAATGAAGAATTATATAAACTCATTTGAGATCATTAGTAAGAATTAAAGGAGTATAGAAATGTATTTTTGTCTAAATATGATTTGTAGTTGTTTATGTAAATGTCAACTTTGTTAAATTTTAATCATTCAGTATCCCTATCAAACAGGGTTTTTGGTCAGACGTTCACGCGTCAGATGACCACCTGCCTACTAGTGATTCACGGCCACACAGAACTTTGTGTGTAGTGTGTGGAGTGTGATTATTACTTTTAAATTAAAATTTTTGCTATAAGATCATCTGTGATAAACCGAAGTTTCTAATAATTCATCATTAGGTGAATTATATAGTTGAAAATGACAACATACGAAATGGTATTTTGAATTATTTTCTAAACGAATAGTTAAACTTAGCATATTAATTAAAGGATAAAATATAATCATTTCAATGAGTTAATCCAACAAAGAACTTTATCACCAATCATAAAGTGCGGTTTAATAACGGAAATAGGTAACGAAGCCAATCAGATCACTTAGTTATTGATAAACTTTCAAAAATGCATCCTCTTTCGAAAGAATTAGATTTGAATATTGGTTTTAGTTTAGCTTTTATCGAAATGATCAATTATGTCATACCAAATGGAGTAGTTTGAAAGGTTTGAATGATTTTTTCTGGTTAGCGCTTTTTTAGCGAGTTGATTTTCTACGGCATGGGGTCGCTAACCCCATGCCCAACCCTCCTCCTTTACCCGGGCTTGGGACCGGCAGTAACCCCCAGAGGAGCTACAGGCTACGAGAAGGCATTTGATAGCGTGGACAGGACGACACTATGGAAGCTTCTTCGACACTACGGCGTGCCTGAGAAGATAGTCAATATCATACGGAACTCCTATGATGGACTAAACTGCCAAATCGTCCACGGAGGACAACTCACCGACTCGTTTGAAGTAAAGACCGGTGTGAGGCAAGGTTGCCTACTCTCACCCTTTTTCTTTCTCCTGGTCATCGACTGGATCATGAAGACGTCAACATCTGGAGGAAACCACGGGATACAGTGGACAGGCAGGATGCAGCTTGACGATTTAGACTTCGCGGATGATCTGGCTCTTCTATCACAAACGCAACAACAAATGCAGGAGAAAACGACCAGTGTAGCAGCAGCCTCAGCATCAGTAGGTCTCAATATAAACAAAGAGAAAAGCAAGACTCTTCGATACAATACAATATGCGCCAATCAAATTACACTTAACGGAGACGCTTTGGAGGATGTGGAAACCTTTACATATCTGGGCAGCATCATTGATGAACACGGTGGATCAGATGCAGATGTGAGGGCGCGGATCGGCAAAGCAAGAGCAGCATACCTACAGCTGAAAAGCATCTGGAGCTCAAAACAATTGTCAACCAACACCAAGGTTAGAATTTTCAATACAAATGTCAAGACAGTTCTACTGTATGGGGCGGAGACGTGGAGAACTACGAAAGCCATTATCCAGAAGATACAAGTGTTTATTAACAGCTGTCTACGCAAGATACTTCGGATCCGATGGCCAGACACTATCAGCAATAAGTTACTGTGGGAGAGAACAAACCAGATTCCAGCAGAGGAAGAAATCAGGAAGAAGCGCTGGAAGTGGATTGGGCACACCTTGAGGAAATCAGCTGATTGCGTCACAAGACAAGCCCTCACATGGAATCCTGAAGGTCAACGGAGAAGAGGAAGACCAAAAAATACATTACGCCGAGAAATAGAGACAGACATGAGAAGAATGAACAAGAACTGGATAGAACTAGAAAAGGAAGCCCAGGACAGAGTGGGTTGGAGAAAGCTGGTCGGCGGCCTATGCTCCATTGGGAGTAACAGGCGTAAGTAAAGTAAGTAAGTAAAGTAAGAAATGGAGTAGTAGAAAAATTTCAAGCTTGGTAAGAAAATTAAGTAAATCTCCTGCAAGTTGGGAAAAATCGTGGTCAATCATCTTGTCGAATATATGTGGAAATATTTTTAAGTTACCCAATGTAAATAATTATACGAGTGCTAACAACTTCCTGACACATTGTCAAAATGTGATATTTATATTTCTCTTATGCAAACAACTACACTAAGTTATCGTTCAGACTTTATAATCTATAGCCATAGTAAATGAAACTCTGCTTCCAAAAGGGCAATTAGGCCGCTAATCATTTAAATTATAACCAGACTCAATGAGTCTGATATACACACCCTCTCCTTTTTCGCAAGTTCATAATTTAGACTTATTTGATTGAGCTAAGTTTATCCATGTACATATGAAAAATCTATTTGGGACTCACGTTACTTTTACGGTGATTAATTCATATAATCTAACACATTATGTAATCAGTTAAAAAACATTTAGTATGACTATTCATCATATAATTATTTCGTTCAACCTGATTTTATCCTTAATTGTAATCCAACACCTTAAATCCATTTAAAATATGATTCTAGTGTACTTAACATTTTTGAAATTGGCAAAGACTAACAAGACTTGGCTTGCCCAGTGATCTTAAATTTAAATGTTGGGATTTTTCAAAATTTTAAATATCTTTTTTGATAGTTAATTTGAACTCATTACTGTTTAATCGAATAAGAATTCAAAGCTAACTTTCACGACATCATGGGATCAGCTAGAGAACCATTGAAAACTAAGGAATAATCAACAACTGTTTTATCCTCGTGTAACACATTTCTACAGCACACCTAACAATATCCTTTCAAGCATCAAATTCATAAGCCATGGTGTCTGATGGTAAACATAATACACATAAATCGCTTACTATAAGTTTAACATTTCCAAATTCGGTCAGCTACCAATACTATTTGTTGATAGTTAACCTTTAATTGAAAAGTCTTCTAAAAAATATTATGATGAAACTTTATTGATAGTAATATTCTTTCTTCATATGTTTGTAACCAGTGGGTCCCAAACATATCCGGTGTGAGTCAGTTATCTACTTCAGGCAATGGAAAATGGTCCCTTACTGTTGTGATCTGATTGCAGTTAAATATAAGTACTGCTGGATCACAACTCAGTGGTCTAGAGATTGAGTGTTGACGCACGAACCAAAGATCCTGGGTTCGATTCGCTCTGTCATAATCGTGGATGCACAGCTTTGAGTAGTTCCACACTCGGACGAAACAGCTGTCTAGTGCTTCTGGCTTTAATTATGAAGTAAAAAATTATGAACATTATTTTTTAATAGTTAATTTCATGAGTCAATCTGAGCCAGATCACCACTGAAAACCTGAAAGCAGAGAACGGCCGTTTCGTTCCAGTATGTAACTCCTCGGCACTGCACATCCACAATCCTGTATGCAGGACTCGAGCCCAAAACTTTCGGTCTAGAGAGTGAACACTCAACCTTTAGACCACTGAGCGGGCATCCAACGGTGTCAATTTCTAATCCATGATCTTTCACAGCCATTCACTGATTGTCTAAGATGTTACCTGTCTCACCCAACACGGATTAAACTCCACTGGTCATGGATTCCTTATTACTAATATTTAAGTGATTTCACTTATCTTAGTTTTTATATTAAAATTATTTTAATCCGCCACATTTTCAAATTTAATTAAAAACTCAAGTTAAAGCAATCCCAATTCAAAGCCTTGCATGTTGAATAACCCCAACAAATAATTGATAAATTGTCATGTAATGTAGTAGTATTTTAATATTCTGATTTCCTTAATCCACTTAACTAATGAATTACAAGAATATAATTCCGTTTTCTTAATTTGTTGACAGAAATAAGTTTGTTACATAATCGTGATTTAAATTTACTACACAGAGCAATTATTCAATATAAGTTTATGTTCTGCTTTACATTTAAGAAAATTAGAAAATATTTCTCTGAAATCTCAACTTATTTAAGTAGTATTTCAATTCAAATGAATAAATAAATATTACACGCACAATTGAAACCTTGTCTAGTTAAGCGTACAGACAATTTCATCTGAAAAAATTCAAGGGGTTATATAAAATCACGTATGTATATACACATTTACATTTCTATGTTGTTTGCCAAAGTTACCATTCATCTAGATAACACAAAACTGGGAAAAATATGTTTGCAAAAAATATGAATTAATGTTAAAAAAATGAGACCATTTTAAAAAAGAGAGGAAATGTCACTGAGTTAATCTAATTCTCAGGGTGTGTATTCGGCATAGTTAATAACTAAAAATTTCTATGTTATAACACTAGTTAAAATTTGTTTCCTGTTGGAACAAAATAATCCTCAGTGTTACAATAACAACAACAACAACATAGACAAAAATGGTTTTACAAGTTTAGATCACATTCAACTCCGCCTGTAGCTCTTCTAAAGTTACTGCATGTCCCGAACCCGTGTAAAGGAGGAGGGTTGAGCATGGGGTTAGCAAACACA